AAGAGCGAAGCGAGATCTGGTTGTCGAAAGCCACGACGCAGCGTATCGGATCAGATCCGGAGAGATGCTGTACGGATTTCAACCATTCGCAACTAGAGATCCGAGAATCTTCGATGAAGCAGACAAGTTCATCGCCGATCGATTCGTCGGAGAAAAAGGAGAGAAGCTGCTGAAGCACGTGGTGTGGTCGAACGGGCCAGAGACGGAGGATCCAACGCCGGAAAACAAGCAGTGCGCCGGAAAGGACTTCGTGGTTATGGCGGCAAGGCTTTTCGTTGTCGAACTTTTCAGACGATACGATTCGTTCGAAGTGGTGGTGAAGAAGGCGGCAATAGGGAGCTTCGTCACGTTGACGGCGTTGACCAAAGCGAGCTCGTGAAGCGCGTGGGATGCTAAAACTGTAAATTGTGGATTGTGCACGTGATGTAATAGAAAATCTGCTTTGCTCTTTTGGGAAAGCTGTAATATATTTAATGGAAATTCTTTTTTAAAATAAAAAAGTCTCCTTTTCATGTAACTTTTAAATTATCTTTTATTTCGTGATGCTTTTTCTCTTCTCTTTAAAAAAGAATATATGTTTAGGTCATAAAATTGCTATAAGTGATTTAAGTATATACTATTAACATTTTAAATATTTTACATCTATTTTTATTTGAATTTAAGTAAAATTTTAAATATTTTTTTTTATGAATTGATCATTTCTATAGAATATTTTTGAAATCGAATATAATTTCTTAGTGAATATTGGATCAATCTAATTAACGCTTTTGTAATCTTTTTAAAGTTTTTGTTTAGATTACAACAACAACATCGTTTTCATTCCAAGTTTATTTAGTGTCGACCGTATAAATTCTTCTTTTTCACCCATTTGGGTTTTGCATCATATCCTCCAAGTAAATCTAGACCTATCACTTCTTCGTCCCTTCAATTTCATCTTTATACTCTCTAATTTTCTAATCGGAATCTTCTATAGTTACGATCCCTAATTTCTTTCTAATACGAAAATTTTGTAGAATACATAATTTAAGAATTAATAACAAAGTGTAAAAGAATTAGTCGACATACATAAAATAATATAGATCCAAAGCAAAAACAAAAATCGACTAAAGCCTTTGATTCTCATAAAACGATCTTAATTTTTTTTCCACTAATTAAGCTAGTAAATTAGTAATCAAGAGACACCGATGTAAGAACACATAATAACAAGCTAAAAACGTTGAATAGAAAAACAAATCAGTAATATTTTAAATTACGTAAAGCGGTGTGAAGAGGCAACTTCAGATTATGTAACTTGGGCAACATTAATGTGTCCCACCAATTAAGGTGATCTCCTTGAGGAGAGTAGTCTTGAATTCCTCTCCTTCAACACACACACACACACACATATATATATATATATATATATGACATGTTGCCAAAGCATAGTTGCTGCCCAACGTGGACTAAGTCGAAGTCCATGAGTTGGAAAACCATGATATTAAGCTAAACCAACAAACTATCCAAACATAAAATATGGAAAATAAATAAAAAAAGAATAAACGAAAGAGAAAAAAGAACGGAAACACTTTTAGTACTACATCTTTTGTTCTTATTACATTACAATGAAAATAATTCATATATTTATAGGAAAATTATTGAAATTTCTTAAAAAAAATAAAGATATGAGTGAAACAAATAAAACAAAATATAATTGAAATAATATATATTTCATTCTTAATTAGTGTTATATATTTATTTATTATCAATCGTATATAATCTCTATATTTTATTTCCATTTCAACACAAACTAGATGACTCTATATATCTAAACACCTTAAAACATTATACTAGGATAGTATGTGTTTTACAACGCTCAAAAAACACGTGTGATTTCTAGGCTTTATACTTTGGTTGCATAATAAACAAGATGATTAATCAGTAAGCCCCAGGAAACAAGTCTCTCTTTCATAGGACGCCTACTATGAAAAAACAACCAACACAAAAGACGGTCTTTGGTGCCATTTTGTACCATGGAACTCTTGTCTCCTATATATAGCAATGTTGCGCCAAATATCCTTAGCAATAAATTCGGATGTCGGTTTGTTGTTTAACGTCTATAGATACTTATCCGAATCCTCGAAAAGGGTTAGTGTTGTCAGGAAAACTGATAGTCGGAGTTGCCTATCGGTTCTTGGCCTCGACATGTTCCATTCCCCTGCTTGAAAATCTCTGAAAACTCGGGCATGCTTGTGCATTCCAAGTTGGGTTAGTGCCGATGTTCATAAGAAGTCAATAAGATGACCTAAGGGGGTCCAATTGATATTTTGTTACCATTTTCGAGCTTGACGTACAAGTAGCAATGCACCATTTTCCTCAACTTGAACAATTTTTTGAACGAGCAAGAGTGACGGTGAACGGTATTTACCACTGTTAATTATTCGGTTTGGATTAAGCAAAGTAAAACTTGAAAGTGTATCCCACTTATAAAACATTGAGGGCCTGGTTGAATTTTTTGGAGTTTTTAGAAACCAAAAATAAAAAAACAAATATGGTTCAAATTTTTATAAAATTATTTTTCTTAAAAACTTTAAAAATTATTTTAGTGGAAAAATCAATAAAAAACCAAACGTTACTTGTTTTTAGTTTTCATATATTATAAAATCTAAATACCAAAAATTAAAAATCAAAATCTAAAATTTTATTTTAGATTTTTATTTTAATTTTTTGAATTTTAATTTCTAATTTTTTGGATTCTATAATATTTGAAAAAAAAGTTTTCATTGATTTTTCAATGGCTTTACAAATTTACAAGAAAAGTAATTTTATAAAAAGCCTGAATCCTTATACCGCGATTTTAATGCTCTCTGCTGCTTGCGTCGGACCGACTCGAATCGAATGTTGCGAAGTCCGTGAAGAAGAGAGGAAGATGTGCGGTAGGGCTCGCTGTACTCTCAGACCCGACGATGTCCCTAGGGCTTGTCACCGCCATGGCGTTCCCGCTCGATTTCTTCACACCGACCGGTGATACAACCTTCTTTTTTTTTCGATTCTCTCTTTTTGGGGAACTGAAATTTGAGAAACTTTCATGTGGGTCATTTGGGTTTGTCACGTATTTCTCTGGCAGGTACCGTCCATCGTTTAATGTTGCACCAGGGGCGTCCATGCCGGTTTTGCGTAGAGACAGTGGAGGAGATGGTAATGGCGATGGGGTTGCTGTTCATTGTATGAAGTGGGGGTTAGTCCCGAGTTTCACTAAGAAGACCGAGAAGCCTGATTTCTTCAAAATGGTGAGAAATTTACTTGTTTTGATTAGAAACTCTTGGGTTGTTTGACTTGAAAGTTATGATTTGACAGTGAAAGGATTTAGGGGAAGTGATGCCTGTAAATCCATTTTGTATCTGTGATTGGTGACATTATAGCACTTTCATGTTATAAGAACTACTTTGTTCACATCACATTCTGCTGCAGTTCAATGCTCGTTCTGAATCAGTATCTGAAAAGGCGTCTTTCCGTAGATTGCTTCCGAAGAATCGATGCCTTGTCGCAGTTGAAGGGTAAATATTACTAAGTTGTTTCTCCGTTTCAGTGATTGTGAAGCCTTTTGTTTCTCATCTTCAATGACTAGAAGAATCCTTTCCCTTCTGAATCTGTACAAGAATCTGTTTGTGACCATCATTTTCATTTAAAGAGCATGCATCAATAAATCAATAAAAGAATATTCTCTAGATTAGGTCGTTATCCACTTCGTTTCCCACATATGTGAAAGATTGTCGGAAAAGCTTTTATGTCAGTGAGATTTCTTGTGTAGGAAATTTGGATCATCTGCATTATTTTTGCTTGCGGCTTTGATCTTCTCAGAGTGGTTGACTATTTAAAAAACTGTTTGCATCCATTTGATCTCATTATATCTCCCTGTCAGCATTCTTGCCCTGTCTATTGTCCATGTTAATCGGGTAAATATTTGGACCATACTTCTCATACAACTAACTGTCTGATGCTTTCTTTCATTTGACGGTGACTGCTTGCTTAACGAATGTTCATACCAACCTATAGTGGTAGCTTTTGATTGCAATTAGTCGGTGTCTGCTTATAGTGCTGAAACTTCAATTTAGATTCTTTGATTTGAAGATTCTATGAGTGGAAAAAAGACGGTTCGAAGAAGCAGCCCTTTTACATTCATTTTAAGGATGGGAGGCCTCTGGTGTTTGCAGCTCTTTATGATTCTTGGCAGAACTCTGAAGGTGAACCGTGTAGCGTAAGCTGAACTTTTGCTGTTGTGTTCTTCTACTTACCTTTGGAACTCTGTTGATGTTCATTTTGGAATTGATGCTATTATCTGTTGATTACAAAAGCATTTACACAACTCCTTCGAGTAAAATTTCATCAGAGTTTCCATAGTTATATTTCATAATCTGCTACACTATGTTTTGCTCTCATTAATTTGCATGCAGTTTAGCATCTGGCTCCTTAGGTAGGGAAGTTGAAATTTGAATAAGATTGTTAGGTAACCGAAATCGGTAGCAATAATTGTTAGTCCAATAAACTGCTTTAGTAAGCTTGATAAGCATATTGTAAGTTCATGTAACCCGTTATTCCTTGTCTTCGTTTAGGCCTGCTGACATCTTTCATTGGATTTGATCTCAAAGATTACCTTTCAATTTGATTCTCTTGCAGGTGAGACACTTTATACCTTCACAATTTTGACAACTTCTTCTTCGCCAGCTCTTCTGTGGCTCCATGGTAAGTAATCAATTGGTCTTAGGCTTCTTTTATAGTTCTGTATCTGTGTGTATACGAATGTATTATTTCATATTTGCAAGTGGATGTTTGTGAAAAAATCCAACGTTTAAACATAGAAAACTCAACCTTTTATAGTGTTTGCACACCCTAAAAGGTTGGTTACTAGTTTGACTTCTTCATCTGGAATCAAAGAGAATCTTTTTATTGTCTCTAAGATCTGTATCAATCTTAAAAGATTGATGTTAGCTTTAAATATTAAATTAGCTTGCCTAATACAATGCTAACCTTGATATGGCTTGCCATTGTTGTTTAAGAATTTCAGTGGATTTCAGTATTTCTGGTTCTGCTTCCAATAGAAGTCGGGAAAGTCCTGCCATCATGACTGTGCTTTAAAGTTATTTTGTTCATCTTTCACTTTAGACAGAATGCCTGTAATTCTCGGAGACAAGGACTCGGTAGATATGTGGTTAGATGATCCCTCAACATCGAGATTGAAGACGGTACTAAAACCATACGAGAGTCCGGATTTGGTAAAAACTCACTTGTTTCCTTCATTTCTACATAATGACAGTCTTGCCTTTCTCGCATGTCTGACATTCAACTTGCAGGTTTGGTATTCAGTGAACCCTGCAATTGGTAAAACATCCTTTGATGGACCAGAGTGTATTCTGGAGGTTAGCTGAACCCGTTTTTTTTTTGTTACTTAATGGTTAATGTATACTTGAGTTGCTTAGGAAGTCACTTGGAATATATTCCCAAAGTGATGGTCTTACGTGATGTTCATGACCACCTCCATTGACATCCTCTCTCAAATTTCGGAAGTTCTTAACTAATCATAAACTGGGCATTTCGGCAAGTTTTTTCCCTTTTCATGTAATTTGAAATTGTAGAGAATTCTACTCATGTTTACTTGCGGAATTTTGATCCTCCAAGATGCTCGATGATTTTGTCAATTTTGCAGATACCCCTAAAGGCTCCAGAGAAAAACTTGATCTCAAAGTTTTTCTCAGCAAAGCAACCCAAAAGAGAGGAAAGGAACAGAGAAGACCTATCCATTAATGAAAATGTTGCGGGAGATTTGAAAGAGGAACCGACAGCAGAAACTCATAGAGGATCTGAGTTTTCTGTAAACATCCAGAAATATGAAGAATTAGGCAAGGAGGAGAAGAGGTCTGTACCTGACGAAGCCATGGACATTCAAAGGATCGTAAAAGTTGAGCCAGTTGGCTCAACAGTTAAACCCTCTGTAAAGGTCGAACCTGATGAAGGCACAACAAGCATCCGACGTGAATCCGTCGAGATGGGTCTCCCTATAACCGCGAAAGAGGAGGAAGAATCAGGTAAGAGCAAGACAAGCATATCGGAGGAACATCAGAATCAGATGGGAGACAGCATGGGAAAAAGATCTTCTCTCGAATCTTTACATGAAGAATCCACCATTACTGATCTACCTCAACTCCCAAAAGAGGAACCCGTAACCCAAGAACATCCTGGTTCTGAAAATGCGAAAGAGGAGCCTAAGAGTGAGGGCCAGACGGTTTTAACTTCCCCGACTGACCCAGAGAAAAGCGGATCAAAACCGCTCGATTCTGCAGCAAAGATTGGGAGAAAGCGGGACTATGAGGCATTCTCAGCGCAACAAAAGCCATCTCAGCAGCACTTGGACAAGGGCTCGGAAAAACCCGGGAGGAAGAAAGGACAGAAGAAGTGTGGCTTAAAGAGCTCTGAGGAGAAGCAATCTACATTGCATTGGTTCTTCGAAAAACGGTAGTTTCCGCACCCGAAGATTCTCATTTCCATGTAATATACTTAAAAGACTAGTCAAGGTTAATAAGGTTAGGTGGAGGTGTTGTGTTTTGTGTGATCGACATCCATTTTGTGGGTGAATCTGTAGATGCTGGTTCTAATGATGCTTGTATCATTGTGTTTAGTCCAATGTGAAGCATTGGTCGTAAGTTCAATGAAGATTTCATTTCTCTCCATAAGCTTAGAGATGAGAATTGTTTTGGTAAGAATCCACGTGTTCTGATTCTGATCGTTTTCAAAAAAAAAATATATTCATTTCTGTTCGTTCTGTATGTCATCCAATGTACAAACAGAGCCTCATGAAAATTGATGCAATCGGTGACTATTGAGTTCTATGACTATCATTGTTTTAGTTTATACTAAAAGTAAAAATGATGCATAAGACAATCCTGATTGTCAAATTTATCCGCTGTTTGGATTTCGGGTTGATTCTAGATGTGAGATCGGGTTTTATGGATGAGATATATGTCGTTACTAGTGCAGGTGGATGCCGAACCGGATTAAACCGAAACAATCAAACGTTTCTGAATCGAACCCTCGAAAAATCCCCAATTTTTATAAAATCGGATAAATCAGATAACTCCAAAATTTTAGACTGCCAGTGGTATCGCACATTTATTTTCTAAAAGCTGTGTTTATAATAATCAATCCGGATTCCGGAGTCTCATCGAATACCATAACCGGTTCGGTACATGAAAACCCGAACCAACCAGTGAATAAACCGGTTAGTCGGTTCGGTTACGGGAGGATGTCATTCCCCGGCCTCTGTTCCAACGCTCACCAGAACCCGCGACAATCAGATACCGAAGAACACTGAAATCCCTAGAAATATTAAAAGGGGTAAACGAGAAATTAGTGAACACTGAACAGATCTTTTATCTGTTTGAGGAAGACACAGAGGAGGAGGAGTTGATTACGAGACATTGAATCCAATGACTTCCTCAAAGTCGTATTACAAGGAGAAGCTTGCTCGTCGAAGGTCAGTAATTTCCATCTTCCTCTTCGATTCTGAAACTAGGGTTTTCGGTGTTGCATCTTTGTGGTTTTGTACAGTGGCTGGGGAAATCTGATTGTGTTAGTTTGTGGGTTTTTACAGGGAGGAGAAATCGGAGGATCCCGAACTACCCAAGTACAGGGACCGTGCGAAGGAACGAAGGGAGAATCAGAATCCTGATTATGATCCATTGGAGCTTGGTTCCTTTCACGCTGTCGCTCCTCCCGGAGCTGTAGAGCTCCGGTAACACTCATCTTTTTGCTTGTCCTCTGTCTGAATGCTTCTTCTGGTTGTTTAATTTTGTGTTTCGGGTTCTTTTTGTAGCTCCGCTGATGCGCAGAAGCTGTCGATCGAGAAGAGCAAGTATCTTGGAGGTTCGTGTTGTTGATACGATTTGAAATTTGTCTTTGCTAAGAAGCTCGGTTTTGTGACTTTGTATTGCTTTTGTTTCATCCTATGTTGTTGTTCTCTTGGAACGAATCTCTGCCATTTTTGTTCTTAATATGTTTTTCTTGTGGGAATCAAACATATGTGCAAAGCTTGTCTGGAAAACATGGATTTGTTGATGTCATGACATCCGCATGGAATTTGCTGATACAGTTGTTTAATGTGTCTCTATTGTTGTGATGCTTTTGGGTCTTTGTCTAAGGTGCTTATGTTGTATTTGCATTTCTGACCAGGTGATGTTGAGCATACCCATTTGGTTAAGGGTTTGGATTATGCTTTACTGAATAAAGTGCGTAGTGAGATTGACAAGAACCATGATGATGGAGATGAAGATGAGGGGAAGTCCAAGTAAAAATTTTATGTTTGCTTCAAATTCGTTTATGTGGTTTTCGTTAATTATTAGTTTTTTTTTCTATCTTCAGTTGGAATGTTTGATTTGAGTAAATATTTGACCCCTGTATTCACAGAGCACCGAAAGAGGACCAACGAGTTTCTTTTCGCACAGCGGCTGCCAAGGTACTTCTGCTTGTTCATGATTTTACTGATGAGGATTATTTTTCGAAGTGCAGGATGATCTCAACTTCTCTCATTTATATTTGATATTGCTATTTCAGTCAGTTTATCAATGGATTGTCAAGCCTCAAACCATCATCAAGACAAATGAGATGTTCCTTCCAGGCAGAATGACATTTGTCTTTGACATGGTAATGCTTTTAGTATGCCTTAATGCTGATCTCATTTTTCCTGCATCCTGTTTTGGCTGTTGGTTTTCTTTGTAAAGAATATATATGCTTGTCCTTTACGTTTAGTTTTTATTCTAACAATAGTCTGACTATAGTTTGTTCCTTAGATGAGTATAAATAAGTGCATCTTAGGCAACCAATACGTGGAGGATAGCTTGAGCTACGTTGTTGTACCCTGTTATGTGTCGAATCTGTCATGTTATGGACGTGAATTATGAGAAATCTTAGAGAAACTTGGAACTCTGGTCATCTAGTACCTCCTCTGTGAAGGGAAACATCAAGCCAAAAGATCAGTTCAAGATGCATTTAGTTATCAGTTGTGGTTTGTAAATGAACTTTGCTTTGTTAAATTGCAAACATTTATCATTATTGCTGAATGGTAAAATTATTTGTATCCTTCAGCAGGTTGAGTATTGTATATATGTCTAGTCTGCTCTTTGAAAGCCCAACTGGTTGCTCCAAACAGCCACAATTCAAGTCTTCTGGCACTTGATGGTTCTTTGCTTTTATATTTTGAAATGTAGGAAGGTGGCTATAGTCATGACATACCTACCACATTGCACAGGAGTAAAGCTGATTGCCCCGTGCCAGAGGTTTGTTGTATATTTGGAACTCACTCTTCTATGATCTTTTGGTAGAAACTATTCACAATCCTCTGCAGCAATCTTCACAAGAATCATTTTGAAAACTTCGATTAATGTTTTTTTATATCTTTTTACCAGGAACTTGTTACAGTCAATGTTGATGGTTCTGTGCTGGACCGGATTGCTAAAATCATGTCATACCTTCGCCTAGGATCATCAGGGAAGGTTCTCAAGAAGAAAAAGAAGGAAAAAGATGCGAAAGGTAATAAGGTTCTTCAAAGAAATATCTGTATGAACACATTTTAATTTTCATTTTTTGGTATGTTCCAACTATAGAAGTCTTCAGTCGTTATCATTCTGGTTGACGTTACTACCACTAAAATCCTTTGTTTAGCCTGATCTTTTAACCAGTCGTGTGCTCGAGAATTTGGACCCTCCCCAAAATTTGGTCTTGTTTGAAATGAGTCGACCTCATTGTGTTGGGTTCTGGGTTGTCACCCGAGAAAATCTCCAGAATTTATATTTTCGATATGTCCATAAAGTCAAAAGTAACAATGTTCTTCAACAAATTGACTTCAATGATTATTTCTTCGTTTTCCTTCCTTTATTCAATCAAATTGACTTCAATGTTTCAAAAGCAGGGAGGATTGCTAATGGATATGATGAAGAGGATAAGCAGCAATCTAAGGTTGAAAATGGGTCTTCTAGGAGCAAAAGCGAAATGGAAGTATTGCCTCCTCCACCACCACCACCACCACCGCCTCCTGGGAAAGACCACGCGGATTCGAGCAAGAATCAAGACCCTGTTGTTGTTAGAACAGAGGATGATGACATATTTGTCGGAGAGGGCGTTGACTACACTGTTCCTGGGAAAGATGCGACAAAAAGTCCTATCTCGGAGGACATGGAAGAATCTCCCCGCGATAAGGAAAAAGTTTCTTATTTTACTGAACCTGCTTATGGTCCAGCTCAACCATTGGCACATGCTGCTCAGGAATGGCAAGATTTGGTTTGTGAATCCGAAATGACCTTTATTCGAAATTTATACACTAATGTCGAATCATGGGGCCTTGGAAGATTTACTTACTGCCACTTTTACCGTTTGAATAATTCAGAGCGGATATGGTGCAATACAAACGCAAGCATTAGCTGCTGGCTATGGAGAGTGGCAGGATTACCAATACGCGGAGCAAATGGGTTTCCAGGAACAGTACCTTCAGCCCGGAATGGAGGCTTTCGACGTCCAACAAGACTTGACTATTCCACAGGATCCACGCCTCATGTCTCAAGAGGAGAAAGATAGGGGTTTAGGGTCGGTGTTCAAGCGTGACGACCAAAGATTCCAACAATTGAGGGAGAAAGACGCACGGGAGAAAGATCCAAACTTTGTATCCGAAAGCTACTCTGAGTGTTACCCCGGTTACCAAGAGTACAACCACGAGGTCGTTGACAGTGACGACGAAGCTGATTTGTCAAAAATGGATATGGGTGGAAAGGTAGATTCTTCTCCTATTTTCTATGCCTCCAACCAGAGTTGGGCATTTTTATCTGAGATCCGCTGGTTTTCGAGTACCCTGAAATAAGTATCCGATTTTGGGTACGCGGGAAGCGGTGAGACTAATATTGGGTATGGGTTTGAGTTCTATTATTTATTGACGAGTTATCTCGTGGGTACCGGGCATATAGAAAATGACTAAGTAGCTATGATTTCTAGGTATTTACTAAAGTACCTAGACCTATTTTCATATAAATTATTTATATACCCTAAAGTCAACATGAGTCAATGGGGTTTTGTAAATTTTCACGGGTTTTGGTACCTTTGGATCTCGGCCTCGCGGGTACGTGAGTTTCATGAGAGACTGAGACTAAGACAATGTCCCGCGAGACCGAAACTGAGATAGAATACCTCTAAAAGTATGGGTACCCAACCAACTATATTCTACTCTCTATTTCGCCCTATGGAAAGAACGGTTTCATGATCCTGAATACAAACTTGGAACAGGCAAAAGGGCGTTTACATCGTTGGGATTTCGAGACAGAAGAGGAATGGGCATCGTACAATGAGCAGAAGGAAGCGATGCCAAAGGCGGCATTCCAGTTCGGGGTGAAGATGCAGGATGGTAGGAAGACGAGGAAGCAGAACAAGGACCAGAAGCTCAACAACGAGCTTCATAAGATCAATAAGATACTCGCCAGGAAGAAGATGGAGAAAGAATCGGGTTCTGATGCACCTTCTTCTCTTCCAGACGGCGATGCTCCGACCCCGAAGAAATCCCGACACTAGAAATTAACATTTTCTTTTGCTTCTGCTTTTCGTGTATTTGCTCGTGATCGTGAAGCGTACAACGTACTTTGTATTCCAGTGACATATATATTATATAACATGTAGGAATGTTATCCTCATGAGAAACACTCGCTGCTTTTTGTGCCATTGTAGGTTAGGATTTGCATATTGAGTTCTGATTCGAGTTCGGTTAAGTTATTTTTCAGTTTGGATTTGTTTTTTTTTTGGTTTTTGAAAAGTTATATACATTCGATTTTAGTCTAATTTTTAATTGGATTGTTTTTATTAATAAAATTATGAATTTTTAAAAAAGGTTTTCAGCTTATTTTTATATTGGTTTTGATTTCGTTTTAGATTTGATTTGTTAGATTTTAAAAAAATTTCTCACTCGGTTCAAATTATGTTTTTTTTAGTTCGATTAAATTGACTCGAATTGGTCACTTGGATGAATCCCGGAGTTATTTGGGTTTTGATTCGATGATGTAAAAATTAGTATTAATAATATAAATTATAGAATATAGTAAAATATCATAAAAGAATCTATCTGTTATTATACTAGGATTTAAGCTTTAATTTTCAATAAAGGCATTATTGTTGGTTGGTTCACAAATTAAAAATGTTAGTTACAATGTTCAGTGAATATATATATAGGTGTTGGTACAATAAACCATCTTCAAATTGTTTTAAAACTTCCCCCGAAAATTGTATACTATTTAATCAAAAATAGAAAACTTGCATATTTAAACATACAGAATATGCACTTTACAAAATATCTGAAAAAATGATAGCTTTTATAATAGAGTTTCCAAATTTCAAAATCCATTTATAAAATTTATAATGATTATAATATATTAAATTTATCAAATCTAAAGCCTTCTAAGTTTGATAAATTTAGTATACTTATAATCATTATAAATTTAATAAAATTTAAGGACTATTAGTTTTAGAAATTGATGTTTATTATACTAGAATGTTATATACTATATCTTCTTCTTTCTTATAAAATGGAAAAAAACACACATCCAAACTCGAAACCAAATTTGGGAATATTGTTCTTCTTAGCATTTAACTAGAAACGAATGCACATGAATATGTGGGACCATATTGTCGCCCCCATCATATTTTTTTTTGATAACCGAGAGGTTCACCTGGGTCTTCGCCCCCATCATATTTACAGAAACGATTTATTTTATATTGATATCGTAAAAATAGATAAAATTATGATTTTTAATTATATTATACTTTCCATAAAGGTTTTTTTCTTTCTGAATTCATCACTACTTATAACAAATAGATTATTCGATTGTGACAATTTTTAGCTTTCAACGTGGATGGTCTTTACAACGACAAATAAAAAAAAAGGAAAAATCTATTTTTAACACATTTGTTTACAGTAACCCTATATTAAATTATTTTTTTATGAATTATTTACTCATATACAAAACTCGCTAATTCCAACATTCATTGAACATACATTCATAGTAATTTAAATTGGTACAAGTACCTTTGTTATAAGAAATTATTTGAGTTGAAATTTTCAAAAGACCTCTATGCAATGCACCAAATGTAGATAAGGAAGATACAAAAGCTTACTAGAATTGGTCCCAATTCCAAGTACGAGGTTTGCAATTTGAGATGGGAATTCGAAGAAATTTTTTTGAACATATCAATTTATTAATAACTACACTTTTTTTTTGTCGGAAAAAACCTACAATCCCAACAACGGTTAGTCCAAGTGGTAAGCTGTTTGGATTCGCTTAAACAGGTTTCGTATTCGAGACTTGGCAGATGAATAGATATGTCTGTTGGGAGACTCACCTACTCCAGCAGGTGCACGGCCCGGGTCGGGTTCGGATTATTCGGAGCGAAGCTCTGCATATCGGACGGACAACAAAAAAACCCTACAATGTTATATAAAAATATCTATATTTTATCCGAATTTAGATAGTTTGTCCGGTGAAATGGAAATACAATTTTCTGAATTTAAATTTTGAATTTAAAAAATGAGTATATATTTCAAATCACATGATTAATCTCCACCTCCGAAATTATTTTGGACTTCAAGATACTTGATTACCACAAAAAAATTCTATATTTTTATATCAAATCAATTTAATCCTTCAACACATATAAATAATAAGGGTAAAACCCATAAAAAAAACTTTCAACTTACAAAAATATATAAAATAAACATTCAACTTGAAAAACTGTCATTCAATCCCCGAACTTGTAACTTGTCAATGAATAAAACCTCGAACTTGTAAATTATTGTTCTAATAAACTTTTGACCGGTTTGACCACAATTTCAAACGATCGGAAATCCACCTATTGACGGATTACTGATGTCATTTTTTAAATTAAAATTGATAACATGTATAAGGTGATATCAACAATCCGTTAATACGTAGATTTCCGATCGTCTGAAATTGTGGTCAAACCGGTCAAAGGTTTATTAGAACAATAATTTGCAAGTTCGAGGTTTTATTCAGTGACAAGTTACAAATTCGGAGATTAAATGACAGTTTTTCAAATATTTTTGCAAATTGAGGTTTCACAGGGGTTTTATCCGAATAATAAATTGAGACAGATTGTGCTTTTAGGAATTGACTTAAATAGTTTTCCAAATTCCGATGTTCCAAAGTACTTTTTAGGCATTTTTTTTTTGTTAAAGAAAAAAAAGACGAAAAGCCAAGAAAGCACATAAACCCTCGTCGGGAAAAAAATGGCGGCACAGCAATCTGTCCACGCAGAGATCATCGACCTCGCCGGAGACAACAACGACGGCGATGACGCCGACAGCGCCGACTTCCTCTTCTCTATGACCCCTCTCTCCGTCAGAGGCTCCACCAAGCGAGACGCCATCTCCGTGGAGCACTACGCCGACGATCGCGACCTCCAACTCGCGATCCTTGCTTCTCTCCCCAAAATCAAGCGATCCAAACCCCAGCGAGATCTTAATTTCGTCATCGATCTCGAACGGGATGACATTGGCAGCGGATACGACGACGACGACGATCTCAGAGTCCTTTACTTCACTCCGACCCGTAAAACCCTAGAAACAGGGCAGTCTTCCCGATCGCCACCACAACCGCAATCGCAGTCTCAATCATTGTTCGTGTGCGACATCTGCGTGGAGTCGAGACCCGGAAACGAATCGTTTCGAATAAAAGGATGCTCTCACTCCTACTGCGACGATTGCATCTCCAAATACGTAGCGTCGAAGCTTCAGAACAACATCCTCACCGTCTCTTGCCCTGTCTCCGGCTGCTCCGGAAACTTAGAGCCCGAGCTTTGCCGCCGGATTCTTCCCAAAGAGGTGTTTGATCGATGGGGAGACGCGCTATGCGAGGCCGTGATTCTGGGTTCCAAGAGATTCTACTGCCCTTACAAAGACTGTTCCGCGTTGCTCGTTGTGGACAACGACAACGGGGTTGTCAGAGAATCTGAGTGTCCGCACTGCAACAGGTTGGTCTGCGTTGCTTGTGGGGTGAAGTGGCATTCGGAGATTACGTGTGAGGAATTCCAGGAACTGGGTGAGGATGAGAGAGAAAGAGAGGATGTGATGTTGAAGAAGCTTGCAGAGAAGAACAAGTGGAAAAGATGTCCAAAGTGCAAGTTCTACATTGAGAAATCTCAGGGATGCTTGTACATGATGTGCAGGTATCATCAACCTATCTACTCTACTGATATGCGTGTTCCCATGTTCTTGGTCTTGTTGTTCTAGTAATGGTCGTGAAACATGCTGTCTAAATTTTGCTTTGAGTGCGGAGAGAAATGCAATCACTAGAAATGGAAGTAGTTTGCAGCACATTTAAGGTCCAAATTCGAAAGGCTTAGGTGTTTCTAATAGAATACTTCTCCAGGCTTTCGAACAATTTTTGCGAAAAATGATTATGAAAAGGCTTGAGCTTCTGAGTGAAATTTAACAAAGGTTCAAACTTTCCAAAAAGGGTAGTTTGGTTTATCATAGATAGTCATCAATTAGCATCATCATATCTAGAAATTCATGTTTTTTTCTTCCAAAGTTTGGATCTCTCTCTTTCGTCCTCATTGTTATCATTCTTGTGTTTCCTTGCACATCTATAAAACTCGGGAGTTTGTTCCCCACAGCATTACGTCGTCACAAAACAGATTCGATGTGCCTAAATGCAGGTGTGGATTGGCTTTCTGCTACAATTGTGGATCACCTTCGCAAGACAATTCTCACTACTGTCACAAGTGTAAGCATTGATATCAACAATAGGGCTCATACGAGCAAACCCTTCTTCTCGGAGGCATTTTCTTTTTTCGTTTTAGCAGGAAAACCAAAGGATGGTCTCAACAGATCTTTTGGGTAATCGCAAGTTAGAATGCAAGTTCATATGGTTTTGTCTTTAAATCAAATGCTTTAGGACAGGATACAGATTTCTGAGTTCAAAAGATTTTGAACCTCTTGGACCATATACATAATCTTTTTTTTTTTCATCATTCGCTTAATCATACAATTATGTAAGCATGTACATATGTGTGTGTATATCATATACGTATATATGGATGTGTATGTATGGAACTATCAACTATCATATGTACGGCTTGCGTGCCTGTCACGTAAATTAGGAACGAGGGTGATACGACAAAAAGACGAGGGTATTTTAGTAATCTGATCAGAAAACAGCCGTTACTGATTAAAGAGACGAAACTGCCCTCCCGTAGAGGCGGATTTTATGGGATTGCCAGAGATGTAGGTGAGAGTCCAACACCTGGTCAAACTAGAGACCCGAGGGCATTTCCGTACCTAATGGTCCGTTACGTAACGGCTTCCCGAAATATCTTCCAGTCAAAATATGGAACGGGAATTAAAATAAATGATAAAACAATCATCCGCTTTCGTGCTAAAAATCAAATATTTTTTGGCTTTAAAGTATATATGAAAAAGATATTTAGGATTTGGATTTTATTTTGACCTATTTTAGTTGATTTTTTCCGTTTCACTTAACCATCATCCATAAAACCTGTTTATTGAATCATTATTATCTTTGTCTTAATTTTTTCTAAACGCTGAATTTGCACAAACTCTAAAAACAGTGATGAAATCAAAATACGAATTTGACAAAAGTAAAAATGGAAATCGACTTTTAACGAACACCACTCATATCAGTATTTATATAATTCCTCTCCTGGTAGCTCAAATCTTCAGTTAGAGAAAGAAAAAAAAATTGTCGTCTTTTTTTTTTCCCATTTGTTTGTGAAAGTTTTTTTTTTAAAAAAAAAATTGTGCAATTTTCTTAATAAAACAGATGAAGCCGGTTCTCTCTTAAAATCATATATACATATATATATATATATTTATATGTATATGTATACATATATACACACATGTAGAGAGAGAGATCATCACACCTCACAAGCGGTTTCGTTTCTCTCCTTGTTTACTAGGAAGCTAATTGCCGAAGAAGAAGAAGAAAGAGAGAGAACAGAACACAACGGGTAAGAAACCTTAACTCGAAGGACAGCTGATTTCTCGACCCGAATTTTTGTTCTTTGTTGGTTATTACTGGCCACTTCATTTAAATGCGTTTCTCTTCTCCGTTTGCTTGATCGAACGATTCCTGAAAAATCCTCTTTCTCTCAGATGCTCAGAAGAAATTTGACCTCTTGCTTTGCTTAGTTTGCTAAGAGCGTCTCTCTGAAATTTTCGTATTTTATTTCTGGGTTTTGATTTTGTGTGTGTGTGTTCTATTCACACGGCTGTGTTTTGTTCTGACGAGGCGCTTTCCAGATTGTCGGAAGATGCATCGCATTGTAAGCTTTAGGTTATTGGTGAAAATTCCTCGTTTCGAACTGACGAGTGTTGGGGAAAGAAATTTCAGTTTTTCAATGTCCATTAGAGATACCCTTTTGTGAATACCTGATTTGAATGCGTTGTTTGGTTGAGAAATTTGCATAAAGATGTAAACTTTTCAACCCTTTTCTATGGTCTTTTTCATGTCCCGGATTTGTGGGTTTGCAACAACAGTGGTTTTCACAAAGGGTTCCAAAACAGTTTCTCAACAGATAAACAACGTTGATGTCTTCAGGGACTTTTATGTTGGTGTTTTTGCAGATTATATTTGTCCTAATCCAAGCATTCATCCATTACATGTATCTTTAGGATTTGGCGAGTTTCGTCGATGTTTTGGTGTTCCGATTTTGAATCATGCATGATCATCTTTCATGATCTCATATTGTATATGTCACACCCTCGTGTGCTGGTCTTGTCTGGTTGATGAATGAAGATTTATAAGCAATGGATTCAACTTGTTGATTGTACAACCATACTCAGAAACCTTGAAATGGGCAGTCGTGTCATTGGCATGTTATTGAGATGAATTGGCTTTGTTCTCGATACAGAAGAGGGTTTGTCGTATATTGTTCTCGTACTATGAGCTTGTTTGAATCCAACTGCAGATGGATGAGAGTATCGACCACTATCTCTCGACCTCACCGTGGCTGGATGCGAATCCAGTGGAAGCATCTCCGTGGCAATATGAACAGCAGAATCAAACAAAACCACAGTTGGCCGGTTTGTGTGGCGAACTTTCAAATAACGGGCAAGCTTTTCATACAGAGACAACATCAACTCTAACCATGAATTGCACTCCGGACGCTCTTGGTGGGAACGTTGATTATACCGAAAAGGGCATCGGTAACTTCAACAGTAATTTGCTTGGCAATCTGCATAATGGTCGGATTAAAGACGAGCATGTTGTAACCATTCCTAGATTTCACTCTTACTCCTATGAAGCCTTGCATGGTTCAAAACTTGATGCCTCGGAACAATTCCCGAGTATCTTTGACGGAACATCTCTTGCATCTGGTTCTGTTGGCTGCAACAGTATAAAAGATTTTGATGTATCTTTTGGAGAAACGCTACCTCCATTCTGTGATGGTTATTTACTTCCCGATACAGTCGGAGGAAGAGATGATATGGACACCCTAGTGGAGAGTAGATTTGTCAATGTCGAAAAACTTTTGCAGGTGAACGATTTCTCTGAATCAATCACCACAAAGGTATGGATTTCACAAAAATGTTCTTGAATCAAAGCTTTAGTTTACATCGGGAAGGCCAAAACCGTTAGTGATTCTTGCAACTAGCTTGACAAAATATCTTTATCTTGCAGGATAGGCAAATCATGCAGGGTGAGGGCTTGCCATCTCTTGCAACTGAGTCTACGATAGAGGAGAAGAAGACAATGACAACTGGACTACCACAAGCAGTGGTCGAGGTATCAACTGATCTTCGATATATAACCGAACATCTCAGTTGCAAAGTTTCTGATTTGTAATGGGCCGACATTGGATCTGTAACGAGCAGACTGCATATGCTCCTTCGGGTGGCTGTAACGTAAGTGAGAGGCCTCGCGTTCGTGCTCGTAGAGGCCAAGCAACCGACCCTCACAGTATCGCAGAGAGGGTACGCAGTATAAATTCGATCATCAAAGAGGAGAAATCTTAGACTTGGAATCTAACACTTTTTTTTTGCACTCTCTCAAACCGCAGCTCCGGAGAGAGAAGATTTCTGAGAGGATGAAGAGTTTGCAGGAACTTGTCCCGAATTCGTGCAAGGTGCATCACTGCAAGTCCTTTCATGTGGTCTTTACCAGCTTTTCCACTCTCCATAAACTTTGAGATTATTTAGTTCCAAACGTTCATTTGCTTTGTTGCAGACTGACAAGGCATCTATGCTCGACGAGATCATAGAATACGTCAGATTTCTCCAGCTCCAAGTAAAGGTAAGTTTTTTTTTGGTTTCAGAAATTTCTGAACTTCAAATGTTGGTTATTAGCATAGATTTTTGAGACGGGTCTATTTGCATTCACTGGAAGGTACTGAGCATGAGCAGGCTGGGAGCTGCAGAAGCTGTAGTTCCTCTCGTCACTGAGGTAATCACCAAATCCTATACAGTAGATTCTTCACAGTTTTATCATCCTTTTTGAACGAAACCCAGAACGAGAAGGCTGAATTCTTGCTTGTCTCTGTTATAGAGATCGAAGAATGCTTCGGTACCGTTCCCCTCGAGTCTTGTGGGGCATGAGTTTTCGCCATCATCCGATCAGAGCGCTCTGGAGAAAGAGATCGTGAGGCTGATGGAGACGAACGTGAGCAAGGCGGTGCAGTATCTTCAAAGCCGGGGACTCTGCCTCATGCCAGTCCCTCTTGCCTCCGCCATCTCCAAAGCCAAAGCACACGAAAGGGACAACAACTCTGCTGGTCGTGCTCAGAACAATAGCAGCAGCAGTGGTAGCAACGGCAGCCTTTCTTAAACTTTCGTCTTTGGAAAACATTCACGACTCCAGGCTTTCTAGCTTATAAAATTTCACTATCTGAACTGAGTGAAGTAGCGTCGATTTTGTGCATTCTACGGTTACATTCTGAGAGCCTCTGGTGCCTTTGTCACGTTTCAGCTAAATCTTCTTCAGTAGCCATCCCATCAAAGTAGATGAATCCCCGACGTTCGGGTACCCGATCACATGTCGGGTCAAATATTTTAAAATACGGGTTAACCGAAGCCACATCTTTGACTATTCGCTGATTCTAGACCGAAGGTGATAACTTTCTCAAAACCGAAAAACTCTTAAACAACACACACGTTTTCTTGCAAACCATTTATTCATCCACTCATTATAACTCACATACACACTCGAACACCACAAAACGTTACACACACATGATTACAGAGTTTTAACAAACCGTCACAAACTGCTTCACTCTTCCTTTTCTTTTTCTTTTCCTAAGACTTTAAATCATAATTGTCAACAAACTCCTCCTTGATTCAAAGTCTGCCATTCGTTCTAATCTTCAATCAATAAACTTCAACACAAAATCTTATTACAACAATCATTTTTCTCGCGAATGCAAAGCTGTCCCATCTCGGATTCTCCAATATATTTCTCAAGTGCAATACTGCCACTTCTCGAGTTCACAATTTTCGGATTTACTTTATTGAGATAAAACCCGACAAACTTAAAATAATCTTCGAACCGTCGGAATCCAATGAACATAAAATGTTAAGGTTTTAATGGTATAATTGAAATATCAGTTTCGAGTAAGGAGTCCCTATGTGTCAATGAATTTTTTAAAAGTTTTTCAGAAATTTATCGGATCAGATCTTGAAATGTATATTTCAAACAAAAGGTCAGCCATATCCAACCCTATTAGAATTTGGATATGATAAATATCGTTTTATTTGAATCTCTAACTTTTATATAGTTTACAAGACGACAAGACATATGTCACGTATGAAGAACTAACTCAACTATTTTATTACATAATCGAAGAGTTCAGTACTGTGAAAGATCATTTAAAATAAATTGAGATGATAAAAACAATATGAAGTAAATTTAACAAAATATAGATCGAACTAATTAGAAAACCTAATTAAATAGTGTGCGACTCATATATATTCAAATTAGAAATTGATTGATTTTATATGGTTTGTTAAACCAATATTATTGTGATAAAATATATAGAGCACATAAATAATATATAATCTTATTTTTTTTAGTTTTTTAATATAGATGTGATCAAATCTTAGTTTGCAAAAAAATAATACATAAATATAGAATGTAACATAGACAAATGAAAGAGTTAGAATTATTATTTTATTTCATTAATTTGGTTAAATTAAATAGAAATTTATCAAATTTAAATACGGATGAGATTATACAAATTTAACATTATATCTTTTTTATTTTAAGTTGATTGTATTAAGCCTAAAAAATTATCACGCTTAACTACGGAGTTCTGATGGGATCCGATGTATTAATGCTGATATGATCGCATCCGATTTAACATTATATCAATATTATATTAAAGTCTTGTTAATATAAATATATTATAATTTGATTTCTAACACCAACTTAGTTTATATTATTATTTAAAATTGAATTTGTCACACTTTACCAGTATGGAAGGACCTAGAAAAATTTATCAGTGGGGTAATACAATATTTACTAAAATTTAAGAGATAAATTTAAATTTATTATAAGGGTATTCATCAATTCTTATTTAAAATTTATGAAATTTATAATGAAAATAATGTTATTAATAAAAATAATAGGAGCATAGGACCCATTATCAATAATCTGCATTGACCTCCTCAATCCACAAGTATCGTTTTTTGGCATCTTTTCGATTTGATTTAAATATATAAATTATAAATTAGAAAACAAAATATAATATGGTTATTTTTTAAACTATTTTTTTAAAATCCATAAATATTTGCAATCCACACGATATCTAAAGGTTATTAACTAGTACTAAATAATATTTATTTTTGGTGTATCTGTCAATAAATATTTGCTCACACTTATAATATTTATTTTTTTATAAATTTGAAAACTCAAAAACTTTTGTCGTAATATTTTTTGGTGTATCTGTCAATATAAAGCAGTAGTTTTTATTAAACTAGCAAACAACACACAGTTTGGTAAGTAAGCAAACAATAATTAAGCATTTTGTTAGCGAATCTGGAATCCGTATCCCTACATTAATGTCATTGACCAAAGACTGAAGTGACAATTCTACCCTTCAGTTTGACTGAAGTTCTACAGAAGGTTCCTTAATTATATAGTGTGTACAAAATTTCCAGTTTTAAATATATCTTTATACATTTATAATATTTTTAGTCATTATCTGGTAATTAATAATTAATTCCAAATTATCCATATCGTTTTATCAGTTATAGAGAAGTAGAACCTCATTTTAAAATAAAAAAAAATTATGCATCTAAATTTTTTATAATACTATATAAAATACAATATATCATTTAACTCGTAGTTTGCATGAAATAATTTCATGTACATGACGTGATTTTTGTTTGTCAATTAATTTTATCAATATTATCATAAATATGTTGGCCGTTCATTTTAATTTTTTACTCTCAGAATATTTTTAAGTGTGTACCAATATCACATATAAAAGATTTCATTCCTATTTTTTCTCATATCATATAGAAAATAAAATATTATGATGTTCTCAAATAAGTCAAGTTCTACCCCCTTCTTTTTCTCTTCGCCACATTCTCTAATCTCCACTTTTTTAACCGAAACTTCAACGATCGTCAATAATATTATAAACTATAAAAATCATTATTTAATTTATATCTTATTGTTATTATTTAATTTATAATGCATATATTTTTCTATAAATTATAAGATATTATACAATGTCACTTTTATAACTAAAGATTTTTACATTACTTTGTATAAAATGTTCCTTTAATTAATATAGACCTAATTAGAATGTGGACCATATTCCTATTTTAAAAAATTGATCTGGACATATAAAAAAATTAAGTAGAACTTACATTAACCGATCTCTAAAAACTTATATATTACTAACTGCTCCATTGAGACATTTGCATATGAAATTCAGATCCTAATATTTGCTTTTTTAGAAAAAAATCTAACAAAATTATAAACAATCTATTAGAAAATCAATCCTAAATAGAAATAAAAAAATACTGAAAAAAAATGTATTTTATAAAGATACCACAATTAATTTTTTTGGTAAAATCCAATAAATATTATTACATTATTTCAGATCTTTACATCATGTAGCACACAATATTATTGGTAGTTTTGCTACGATATCTCTTTTCTTTCTCCTCACCTTTTTGCAGCATTCAAACTTTCCATTAAAAAAAAAATTAAAATAACAAAACAAGTTCGTATTTATCTTCCAATGTCTTAGATTTCTCTACATATTACACATATATATAACCCCCAAGGTTTTTCTCGTGTAGAGCTTGTTCATAGAAAAAAAAAAATTGTGTAAAATGGTTTCTGATCAATCTCTTGGCGACAAAAATCCTTTGATGAGTATCACTGTTCTGCTGGTTGACGATGATCCTATCGTTCTTTCGATTATCTCCGGCATGCTTAAAATCTCAAAATATAAAGGTAGAATCGTTTATAAAAATATTAGAAATTTTCAATTATGTTACATCTTTACATTAATCTTATTTTTCCTGTTTTTTCTTAAAATGTTAGTTACTATTCGATTTTACAATTTTCAACTATGCACAAATGGATTTTTCTTATTTTTGTAAGTATATAAACGCCATTATTTTTTATATTTATATGGATATGAATATTCTGAAACTACCATAATTTTTTAAATATTTAAAATGATTTTTTTTTCAAAACACATTGTTGATTTATATATAGATGAAAAATAGAAGGATTTAACATATTTTATTTGTCATCCATCTAGTTTATACATCTAAGTTGAAATTTCCCATAATATATCTAATTGGGGGCACCCATTATATACATATACAAGTAATATTCTATTCAATAACATCTCTCATGTTTTGTCAAAATTTTCCTCTAAAATAACCCAATCTATTTATTTTTTAAATCACACCAAATTATCTTATGATGAAGCGTTTAAAATATGTTTACATTTGTGGTTTTTGTTCGATATTTTTTGTTAATTTCATTTGGAACCTAAAACTTCTATAGTATTTTACATTTTTAATTTTATATATATATATATATATATCTCATAATATTTTGTTGAATATATTTATGTTTTATATAGTGATGTCAATATGGGTTGCCCAATCCATTTGGGTCCAACCCATTTGGGTTTTAAAAATTATAGGTTTGGGTTGGGTCAACCCAATAATAATTGTTATATGGGTTGGGTTAACCCATAAAACCCATAACCACCTAATTAACCCATTTAATTTTTTCACAATAAACTTATTATCATTTAAACATAATAATCTTTGAGATATTTTTTTTAGTTCGTACACATATATATCGGATTCTATTTGAAAATTATACCGATTTTTCGGATATCGGATTATCAATTTTTTTGGTACCGTTCGGTTCAAAAACGACAATGAGTTTTTTGTTTCAATTCGGAAACGATATCGATTATTTCGGTTTGATTCAGAAACGAAATCGATTTTTTGATTATGTTCGATTCGAAAACGATATCGATTTTTTCGATTCGGTTCGAAAATGGTGCTGATTTTTCGAATATCGGGGTTTTGAAATTTTCGGTACTATTCGATTCAAAAATGGTAACAAATTTTTTTGTTCGATTCAGAAACAAAATCGATTTTTTCGATTCGAAAACGAAATCGATTTTTTCGATTCGGTTCGATTCGAAAACGATATCGATTTTTTCGATTCGGTTCGATTAAAAAATGATATCGATTTTTTCAATTCGGTTCGATTCGAAAGCGATATCGATTTTTTCAATTCGGTTCAAAAATGGTACCGATTTTTCGAATATCGGGTTTTTGAAATTTTCGGTACTATTCGATTGGAAAATGGTAACAAATTTTTTGGTTCAATTCAGAAACGTTGAATCGAAAAAATCGATATCGTTTTCGAATCGAACCGAATCGAAAAAATCAAATCAGCACCATTTTCGAACCGAATCGAAAAAATCGATATCGTTTTCGAATCGAACATAATCAAAAAATCGATTTCGTTTCTGAATCAAACCGAAATAATCGATATCGTTTCCGAATTGAAACAAAAAACTTATTGTCGTTTTTTAACCGAACGGTACCAAAAAAATTGATAATCCGATATCCGAAAAGTCGGTATAATTTTCAAATAGAATCCGTAGTGATGTCAATATGGGTTGCCCAACCCATTTGGGCCCAACCCATTTGGGTTTTAAAAATTATAGGTTTGGGTTGGGTCAACCCAATAATAATTGTTATATGGGTTGGGTTAATCCATAAAACCCATAACCACCTAATTAACCCATTTAATTTTCTCACAATAAACTTATTATCATTTAAACATAATAATCTTTGAGATATTTTTTTTAGTTCGTACACATATATATCGGATTCTATTTGAAAATTATACCGATTTTTCGGATATCGGATTATCAATTTTTTTGGTACCGTTCGGTTCAAAAACGACAATGAGTTTTTTGTTTCAATTCGGAAACGATATCGATTATTTCGGTTTGATTCAGAAACGAAATCGATTTTTTGATTATGTTCGATTCGAAAACGATATCGATTTTTTCGATTCGGTTCGAAAATGGTGCTGATTTTTCGAATATCGGGGTTTTGAAATTTTCGGTACTATTCGATTCAAAAATGGTAACAAATTTTTTTGTTCGATTCAGAAACAAAATCGATTTTTTCGATTCGAAAACGAAATCGATTTTTTCGATTCGAAAACGAAATCGATTTTTTCGATTCGGTTTGATTCAAAAACGATATCGATTTTTTCGATTCGGTTCGATTAAAAAATGATATCGATTTTTTCAATTCGGTTCGATTCGAAAGCGATATCGATTTTTTCAATTCGGTTCAAAAATGGTACCGATTTTTCGAATATCGGGTTTTTGAAATTTTCGTTACTATTCGATTGGAAAATGGTAACAAATTTTTTGGTTCAATTCAGAAACGTTATCGATTTTTTTGGTTGTTCGGAAACGATACCGATTTTTTGGATATCAGGTTTCTAAACTTTTTGGTATGGTTCGATTCGAAAACGGTAACGAGTTTTTCGGTTCGATTCGAAAACGATATCAATTTTTTTCGTTTTGATTTGAAAACGGTGCCAATTTTTTCGGTTCGGTTCAAAAACGATACCAAATATTTCGGTTCGATTCAAAAACGATAGCAAACTTTTCAATCCGATATTATATTTTTTAATTTGCATACATATATATGTTTATATATACGTACATATATAATATATATTTAAATATATATACAACGTATATTACTATTTATATATCTGTATATAAGAATTTTAGTTATTATATAATAATATAGTGGGTTGAATGGGTTAATATAAATGTTAATGCTGATAATATAGTGGGTTTTAATGGGTTAAATGGTTTAACCCATAGGTTGAATGGGTTAAAACCCACTTAACCCATTTAAAAAAATTATTCAAATGGGTTAAACCATTTAGGTCAATAATCGGGTTGAGTCGGGTTAACCCGCATAACCCAACCCATTTTGACATCTCTAGTTTTATACAATTTTTCTTTTTTTTTTATTTGTTTTAAATTTAACTAAATTTGGAATTAAGGCAATGTTAATGTTTGATGTATTAGTTGTAGATTTAACGAGTATGGAGATCACAGTTACAACTGTGCAAAATTCATTGGAAGCATTGTCAATTCTTCGGGTTCAACATGATAATATTGATCTTGTAATTACGGATTATCATATGCCCGATATGAATGGTATTGAATTGACCAAAATCATCGATCAAGAATTCGAAAGGCTACCGGTTGTAGGTATGTAAAAACTATTATTCAAAGTCAATCTTTCCAATATATATATTTCTAAGACAATTTGATGAAATTGAATATTGTCACATATGGATGAAATATTATTATATTTTGTTTAATTCTGTTTATAACTATATAGATTATATTAGCAAATAATTCCTCTAATTTGATAAAGTTCTTTGTTCAAATGGGTATTATAGCACATAGTTGTCAACATCTGCCTTTCCATTTCTTTGGTATTATGGAACGAATCATATTCTAAAAATGAATTAACAGAGAAATTAATCTGTATATATAAAAACAAATTACATGAACGTATAGAAACGTACCATACATAATAATGTAACAAACGATCATGTTCTATGTTTCTTTTATGTTTTGAAGGTTCAATTAGATGCTAACCTTACATATGTATATATTTATCTGTGTTTTTTTTTGTCTGAACAATTACAGTTATGTCTTCGGATATGAACAATGAAATCGAACAAGAGACAATATCAAGCGGAGGCTTGTGTTTCATAACGAAACCGATCAAACCAAACGACCTTAACACCATATGGCAATATGCTCTAAAATCCAAGAAGAAAGGTAAGTCCATCTCCAATGACCATTCATGCAACAATCATGGAGACGACGATGACAACGATGATAATGACGTGGACAAAGGCGACGATAACAATAACATTGTTGATGTTCCCCGGTCTTGTAATAGCGGCAATAATGGCGGAACTGTTGGGAGAAAAAAAGATCCAGGCTCATCTTGTGGTAATAAGAAGAAAGGGTGGACGAGAAAACCCTATTCGGGATCATCAACCTCACTTGAAGTGGTGACTAATAACAAAGATAAGAGTGTTAATGATGATGATGGTAATTTAGGGGATGATCATAGGAAGAGAAGAACTACTGATGATGATTTCAATGAAGAAGAAGATGATGATGATGATGACGACGATTCCCGGCCGTCCGCCCCGAAGAAGGCTAAGGTCATTTGGACAAATTCTCTTCACAACCTCTTCTTGCAAGCCATTAGGCACATTGGTCTTGACAGTAAGTCTTTTATCATATATATAAATCTTTCTGTGTTTCTTTTTATTTGCCTCTTAGGGTTTCTTTCTATCTCTATGTGTTTTATTTTGCTCTGTAGGTTTTGATCTCTAATTGTAATTTTATCATATATATATATACACACACATACGTGTACACTCATGTATATATATATATATGCATATTGCATCATGTTTGAATATTTGTAGAGGCCGTGCCAAAGAAGATCCTCGACTTCATGGGCGTGCCGGGACTCACGAGAGAAAACATTGCAAGCCATTTGCAGGTTTGATTTCTCATGCAGTAGACGCACACACATGCATATATACCCAAACATGTACATACACATAAAAAGACAAACAGCACTGTATGTATTCTTTTGTACAGTGATAACATACAAAACCATGTGGATCGCAACGCAGAAATACAGGATATTCTTGAAGAAAGTAGCCGAGAGAGGAGAAATGCGATCAGGCTTCCTGTCGAACAGAACTGTGAAATCCAACTTTGCCTATGGCCACATCAACCCATCACGGCCGCACTACAACGTCCATACCTCACCATACGGCCCTTCACTGAGTCACAAACCCTACAACTTGGAACTCAAGTTCAGTCTCGGACAGACAAGGCTCCTCATGAACAACAGCAACATCATTAGCCACAACCCCTATCTCTACACCCACCTGAACCGCTCTTCCTTTGATCTGAACCGAATCGGTTCAACCTCCTTGTTGCCCAATAGAGGCCACTTCACCTCCTTGTCCAATGCTACGACGACTCAGACGCCAAATCTTCTCCCTCAAAATGAAGATCTTTTTCATGTGGGGAGAATTGGTCAGACATCTCAGTTCCATGGGATTGGAACACAATATGGTACAGGCAAAGGTCCGAGTCTAAATCATAATCCGAATCCAAACCCTAGAAACCATAGTGGCATTGCATATGCTGGAATCAGGATGAATGATAGGGGAGATCTCATTGGACTCGGACCACTTCAAATTAATGGTAATGGCAGCGCTAAATCTCTCGGCCGAGGTGTGGGTTACATGAACTGGAACCTCAACAACAATTTCAATGGCCATGGAAGTTTATCAACTCATCATCTCCATCATGGATTTGGGCATCTCTCTTCTCAACAACTTTCTTCTTCTTCTTCTTCTTCTTCTTCTTCTTCTTCTTCTTCTTCTTCTTCTTCTTCTTCTTCTTCTTCTTCTTCTTCTTCTTCTTCTTCTTCTTCTTCTTCTTCTTCTTCTTCTTCTTCTTCTTCTTCTTCTTCTTCTTCTTTGGCTTCCTTGTTTACTCAGGCAATGCAAACGTTGTCTAGCAACGAGGCAAGCACAAATGGACAAGTTGACTTATTGTTACCTGAACATAACTTGTCGGACCAAAACCCACTTGGTGGCCTTGCCGAGGTTTCTTACGATGCAAGTAACTTCAAGTTCAATCACAATGAGGTAGTGTCATCATATTTTGGATGTTTATTTTTTTTGAACGATAAGCTAGATTAAATCTAGGGGACGCCTTGTCCTGTGTCAACAGATGCAAGGAGAAGCCAGTTCTCGGAATCCTGAACCCGAAGAATCCACATTTGAAATGAGCAACCTTTATCAAGCTATTATTGTCGAAGACGTCAGTGGTGTGAGCAATGACAACACAAGCCAGGTATACATTATCCGGACGATTCCATTAAGCTTACATATATATTTCCATTTTTACATGGATTGGATATTTTCTCAGCCATATATAATCACTGAAATATATGTATCGATGACTTGTACAACATATGCTTTAACGAAAGGTTGGCTCTAACGGAAAAACACTGAACTCTGCCTCTGCTTCTGCTTCTGCTTCTGCTACGGAGATATATGCTCCAGCTACTGGCAACAACCCTAATCAAGTAAGCCGAATGTTCGATCACTATAATATATATATATATATATATATATATGTGTGTGTGTGTGATATGTAGCATACTTGGCATCAAACCAAATTAATCATATGATGTTTATATGTCTGAAATTAATTTATATGACCTATAATAGGTACGTACGTAAAATTTTCATTTCTTGTAGGAGCAAAACGTTGGAGATTTCGTGGAGCTACCGTACTTCAACCAGGCAAGATGCTTGACGACTAAAATCTTTTTTGTTTTTCTAATTAAGATTTGGTTTTTATAACTTGATGCTAATTTTGGGGGGACAGGAATGGGGTGAGGACGATTTCATGGACTCCTTGTTGGACTATGGGATGCATTGAAAGCCCACCAAAGATGACATCAAAACCAAAGTCTATATTGAATTAAATATCTCCACATACTTTCCTAGAGGGTTACTACTAGCTATATAAACAAAAGGACTTTTGGGTATGCAGTAGACCCTGTACATTTTAACCATCGAATAAAGAGGGATGGAGAATTTGAACCAAACAAGCTTTGCCAATAGACTCGTGGCTGTCTGCTTCTAATTTGGTTCCAGGTTTTGGATGATGAGAAGGTCGGCCTGTATTCACCTTCGTCATATGATGTGATCCTAAATATGTTACTCTAAATAGGGTGTTTGAAGCCACAATCTAAAATTTACACGAAATAGAAAATTTTGGTATAAAAATCTCAATCTAATATTCACAATAAAACAACCAATCTTGTTATAGTGAAGGTGCGTCGTATTCGGAGATGCCCTATACCTTTGTTTATTTTTCACTACACCCGAGATTTGGTATAACGGTCATAAGTAAATGAAATATGATATGTGAAATATGATAATTGTTTGTTGTCACCTACCGCAAAACTCTCTTTCTTTATCCGGATTCGGAGCATGAAACTCATTGAATCCACTCAACGATTCCATACGAAAAACATTTGTACATCTAACGAAAAATCTCTTCTTCGTCATTTGTGTTAGCAAATGAAGCAAAAAGCTTTCAGTTACCAAAATATTTTCGTAGTGGGGCTTGTCCAAAAGGAACCGCTATGCCACGTCATCGAATCCATTCGACGATTAAACATATTGGGCCTAAATGGACCCTTCTTTTGATCTATAATTGGGCTATAATTGGGCTATAATTGGGCTTACATGCTGCATGATGGTGGGAAAAAAAAAGTCAGACCACAATTATACGATAAGAATAAAAAACAAAGGAAAAAAAAAATGAAATTGAGGGAGGGGAGGTGAAGACAGAGGACGGGACAGGACAAGCAAGCGCAAGCCACAGAAGAGAGAACATCAAAGCGAAGCCCCAAAAAAGACATAAATCTCTCATGTGGGTCGTGTCCTCTCAAACTTATCTTCTTCTTCTTCTTCTCCGGTGGTAATTAATGTCGGACGCAGTGGACAAGTTGGTGGTGTTCTTGGCGAAGAGAGATGGAATAGACAAGCTTGTGAAGACATTTCAGTACGTCTCCAAACTCCTTTGCTGGCGCCTCCAATCCAAGCAGCCCCATCTCTCTCTCCGTTTCAAGCACTGGGAAGTCGCCTCTGGCCTCAGCCGCAAAGCCTTCAGGTCTCTCTCTCTCTCTCTCTCTCTCTCTCTCTCTTCTCGTTATATGTTGGAACAATCACACACACTGATATCATATGTGCATACGCTTATATGTATTGGTGATGGTGTGGGTCATCAGGACCGGGAGATTTCTCACAGGGCTCAACGCACTGAGACGCAGCCCAGGTGCAACGCCTTTGTTTCGTTTCCTCTCCGTCCTCGCCAACTCCGGCGAGATGGTTTACTTCTTCTTCGACCATTTCCTCTGGCTATCAAGAATCGGCATTTTGGATTCATCCCTCTCCAAGAAGATGAGTTTCATCTCCGCTTTCGGTGAATCCTTCGGCTACGTTTTCTTCATCTTCATAGACTGCATCGTCATCAGGCAGAGACTCCAATCCGCCAAGAAGCTCCCGCCTTCGGACAAGACCTTGTCCGAACAAGAGAAAGCTAGCGAGATCAAGGGTGACATAGTGATGAGATTGATGGGAATATCGGCGAATATCGCTGATCTGATCATTGCATTGGCCGAGATTGAACCTAATCCGTTTTGTTGCCATGCGGTAACGCTCGGCATAAGCGGTTTGGTCTCCGCTTGGGCTGGTTGGTATAGGAATTGGCCATCGTAGAATGACGAACAAGGTCAAGGGATGTGTCTTTGGTTGTTTGGGATAATACAATACATTGGAAGTTGGAACTCGCTTGAGTATATATACTCTTAGTACTTTGAATTAATATAAGATACGAATAATCCTCAGAAGTACCATCTGGGTCTTGTTTCTTCTTCCTTATCAGTTAATTCACGATACTGGTACCATCCAGCTCCTGCAGTGCCCACCGGCAATGGCGGCCGGACAAAAACTTCGACTGGTTTCGGTACACTTATAGCTAGACATATCTCTCTTTCCTCGTCTTCGAGATGTCTCGGTTCAGATCCCGTTGTTCTGCGGATTGGTTCAATGGATATCCATCCCAAACCTGAAATGGCCACATCGCTTGCTGGTCTGAAAAAAAGCAGAGCAGTAACGTTTTTAAAATTTGCAAGTTTCTGATGAACAAGTGAGAAACAGAAGATAAAGGTTTCACCTTTCTGTGTCGCCGAATTTTATTCGGAGCAGATGTCGAGATTCTAGACCTTTCCATTCTTCTGTTTTTTGTTTTCCGGAAGGAGGTGTCAGTAGAACACCCACTTCTTTCTGCAGAAAAAACTCGGACGTAAAGACGATAAAGGAGACATGATACTGAAATAGAATAGCCGGAGATGAACTGGAACTCACATGGTAAAAGCCATCTGCTTTTTCAGTTGGTATAGCATGAATCTGCAGAGCCTTGGGTCCATAGAATGTTAGACAAGTTTCAGGTAGAACCTGAAATGGGTCAAGCATGTTGTCTAAGCTAAAACCCAAAGGTCAACATAAAATTAGAACGCGGGTATCAATTATTACCTTCAAGACGTCGACCCTTACAAGCCCTCCCCAGAAGAATGTGTAACCTTCCAAACACTTGGCCTCGGGAATGTATGATGATGGAGACGACAACGTCGAAATCTAATGGGAACCAGCGTACAATCAGATTCATCATATTGATGCCACAGCAAAGAAAATGTTTTTCCTAACATAAAGCCGTTCGACTTACATGGAAGGACTGGCCTCTGAGCCGGCTTTGAGGAGCAAGAGCGGGTAAGTCATCTGAATGAACTACTGCTGCTTGCCTGTGGTGTAGGTGAACTCCAGGCGTATCATACAACTTCTGTGATATTTAAGGAGATTCCTTTTTAATATATCTAGCGGTAAATATAGAAATTTGACTGTTGGTTAATGTAATACCCCTCCTCCGAGAAAGGCATCGATCTGAATTGGGCCTAAGGTGGTTCCAGGGACAGCTGATTGTATCGGCTTGTACTTCTGAGCTGCAGCAGCAGCAGGGTCCCTTTCGGCCATTGTTTCTGCATTATATGTTACCAAAAAAAACACTCCGGGTATTGATAACTAAACTCAATCGATTCTAATCCGTAGCCCTCAGCCATATACACAGGGTAGAAGGAAAAAAAAATTGCAACATACTCAGCAACGCATTGATGAATGCAGACTTTCCTACATTAGCAGCACCCTGTGAAAGCATGAAGAATGATGTATGTCTAAAATTTAGCGCTTTAATAAAAAATTGTGCAGGTTTAGTGAGAATTTCGCAATATCAGAGCATCGTACCAGAATGTAAACATCTCGTCCCTGAAACATAAGAACAGGGACAAAAGGTTAGGTTGCCGAAGACAATATGAACCAATAGCAGTGCTTGTTATTTGATGAATATGGACTTAGTGAGCAGTACATTACCTTCTTCTCCTTTTGGATTTCCGAAGCAACTCCGCTAATTCCAGCCAGAGACTTTGAACTTGTGAGATGAACACTCAAGACACTGAAATTTAACAAATCCGAATCCGACAACTACTTTCCGTCAGAACATGAACTCCCATCCTGATAGTGAGATTGTAAATAACACAGACCAGCATGAACTTTGGTATAAAAAATAGGAAATGATACTTACTTTAGCTTCTTCTTTGTGGTTAATTCTACAACCCAATCACCAACACAGTTCATATCTGTTCCTCTTGGGAGGAGATCGACCTAGCAGTAGAAAACCAGAGTAATCGTATTCAAAAAGCCGGAGAAAGGATTTAAGACACGTTCAGGTTGCAGAGAACTACCTTAGTCACAACTAATGTTATAGGATTGGCCCCAACTAAGTCACGGACGTGAGATAGAAAACTACCGTTGAAATCCACTATATCGACCTGGAAGGACACAATGAGGAGGAAACACATAATTAGAAGAATGCAAAAGCAGATTTCTTTGGATAGTTCATCATAAAACAAAACAACAGAGTTGAAGGGACTGGCCAATTTGACAATAAAAGCTTTCTCGTGGCGCAAGTGAGACAGTTTCTCCCTGAGTTCATCGGCTGATATGAATTGCTTTCCACCAGGATAACCTCCATTGCCACCCACTGCAGTTATCATATGTCCATGAGACAAAAGCTTGCATCTCCCACAGATGACGGTTCTTAACTGGTGATGTTTCTTCTTCTACATCCCACCAAAAAGACTCGTCTTCAGTTCATCATTTCACTTACATGAAAATCAACCAACTTCATCGAGATTCGGAAATTCGCACCGAACTTTACACATGTCCAGGGATCAGCAAATCAATCCATGAACTGATCTTTCATGGTTTCTCATAGGTAACAAAAAAGGAAGATTTTAGGGGCTTCTAGTACTAGGGCACACATTGATGCCCCAATTTTTACCAGCTGCGCTGTATTGGAAGTAATTTGAAGCTCTAAAATGGGAAATCCACGATAAAAGAAGCCAAACCCATAATCAGAATCAACGAGATAGAGCTTATCATACCAATTCATAAGTACCCGGATCGACATAACCCGGAGAATCTGCTTCACACGTCTGCAATGGAGCTCCACAACCATAGCAACATGCTACCGAAGTAACAACCTTCCGCGGATTCTCCTTCTTTTTCTTCTTCTTCTCCTCTTTCTTGAGCTCCCTCATCACTGTCCTCGCGGATTCATGAGCTCGTTGACGCTCCAGGAACCGCTCCCCCGGAGTTGGAGCGGCCGCTCCGGTCCCATCCGAGTCGGGCTCGGAGACCGTGACCTGAAGCGGAGATCCCGACGGCGTCACAGACTTACAAACAATTTTCGCAATCGGCTTCCGAAAAATTACAGTGGGTTTGGGGTTACTTTTGGTGAGGCCATGGGGAAGAGATGGAAAAGTCGAGAGCGTCCGAAACGCCATTGCCAAGTTTCTCCACCAAACGTAATGATATTTATCTGAAACCGACGAGTGAAGACACTGTACCAGAGAGAAGGTTTAAGGGAGAGCTTCTGAATGGCAGATAGATTTTGGGTTTATGAACTTATCTCATCTCCTTTGCTTTGAACTGTCTTTTTTTTTTAAAATGTGATTTGAAATTAGAGTGGCCAAATTTGACAACAAAACCCATTTAGCCTAAATTCATTTGAATTTTATGATTTTTTTTTGGATTGGGTGGGTTAACCATGAACCTAACCAACCAATAAACTCACTTAATCAATTAAATTATAATAATTCATAATTAGACAATTATCAATATTGATGGTATTTTATAAAAAAAAATTAAGTAAATTGAAATTATGTTATGAAAAATAAATCTGTATTTTCAATTTATTTTTCTTTTAGAATTTGTTTTTTGAAATATCCAAATAATTTGATAAAATTTGTCAAAACTGATTAAATCTCAATAATGATCTACAAAATTTTATTTACCCAAATAATTTGATTGCATTTATCATTTTGATTTATTTTGATAACGATTCAAATTAGATTCGTTTTGATTCAAATAATTCGTTTTAATTCGGATCAATTCAAATTCGATTCGTTTTTATTCACATTTGATTTGTTTCGAATCACGCCAATTTATCTCGATTCAAATTCGACTTGGATCAATTCAAATCGATTCATTCTTATTTGGATCGATCGGATCGATTTATTACGATTCAAATCGATTTAATATCGATTCATTTCGATTCAAATTAATTTGTCTTATTCGGATCAATCAATTCGGCTTGATTTGAAATCGATTTTTTTTATAAAATTCTTTATTTTAAGAAATTTTTGGATTTTTGGATATTTTTTTATTTTTAAGTAAATCGTTTATATTCGATTTTATATCGAATTTAGTTATATATTATTTGCTTTGAATAATTCAATTTTGTTTTTATTAGAATTTGAGAAATTATCTATGTATAATCACATATACATGGAAGCTGATATCCACCTCTTGCAAGGAAAGCAATATAGCAATATACATGTAAGCGGATATCCACCTCTTGGTGGGCCAAGCAACCACTGGGGGATCAACGGCAGTGATTCACCATCCTCTCATCACATCCATGGCTCTCAAACACAATGCCACTCTTGCTCAGGTAATGGCATCCCAAAAATACATTTGGTTGGATCGTAATCATACCAAATATGACTGTATAACATATAGTTTAGTCATAATTTTTTTTTTTGTGGGTGTGGGGGTATTTTATGTCTATGAAGGTGGCTCTAAGGGTATGTAATCAAACCATAAGCCCTTACAAGTTCATCCAACAACTTTGGGATAATGAAATCTAGGCCCACCCATTAAATTTGTTAATTGTAATTCCAACACCTTGTATATTCAAGTGATTGAATACATGATGCTTAATCACATAGTGAAATATAGAGACGGATCTAGTGATTAGCAAAGAATCACATGATGCTTAATATATATATATGTATATATAGGATCACCATCTTGATTAATTCAGTTCTTCTGTACAACAAAGAGCTTTAAACTTGTTCATGGTGATACAATGATCCATATCATGCTCAAAACTTCAAGAAATGTAAAACGGGCACGCTCATGGACAGATGAAAGACATAGAAATAGCTTGAGAGATCCAAACCCCTGTCTTTAGCCCCTTAGGGTTTGGATGATAGTGTTGTGCCATGGATCAGACAAGTGCTGCAACAGATTCTCAAACGGCCCTTTACCCGTCACGTTGTGTTGAACCACAAACCCTAAGAAAGCCAACATCGCCAACCTCCCTGCCACCCGAAACAAAGAAGAAAAAAACCACATTCCCCACATCAGATCATATAAATAAATAGTCGTTTTTTTTTTCTCTTAACCAACATATTTTACCGTTAGCGAGCTCCTTCTCCTTGGCCTCGGCCGTCGGGGCGAAGTTAAGAGGGTTGAAGATGCCGCCGGGATAGCCCACTTCGTTAGGAGGCAAGCTGTATTGCTTGAAGATCGGATCTTGATTCACACTCCCCGGGTTCTTGATGTCCTGCCACCTCCTAATCTCTACGTAATGGAACAGTATGAACTCTATCACGAACAATGTTGATGACGAAGCGAAGTACTCCTCTTTCCCGGCATCATACCACTCCGGAACGTTTATGATTCCTGCTCCAAATGTTTTTTGAAAACGATCCATTTAATCCCAAAAAGTGTTATTTCCGTGAATGTGAATGGAAACTATGAAATGGGTCACTCACCGATCTTGGTGAAGACTTCAGGGAGAAGCATTCCGGCCACTCCGAGCATTGCCCACCGGCCATTGACGAGCTCAGCTTGTACGAACCATTTCAGGTTCTCTGGATCCTCCGCTAGACCCAGAGGGTCAAAGCCGTTGTCACCGGGGAGACTGCATTTGTAGTTCCAAACCGTATGACATTTTCTTTGTTAGCTGTACCGGTACCAGTTTAAACCGATCTGACTCTGAACGAACCATTTGGTCATGCATTTGGGTTTTGTCTTTTTTGTAGTTCCAACCCAGGAACCGAAGAAAATATGAAATTTTGTTTGATATATAATGATTTGGTTGTAATCTGTCATTTCAAGCAAGATTACAGTCTGATACATCCAAATCGCCAAAATAATAGTCACCAGCCACAAAATACATGATATTCGAAATCCTAGTTACTGGCATCAAATTTCTACGGCCCAAAAGTGAACTAAAGACACATATGATACATGCCCATCCATATTATACGTACAATGTATAGCGTTCATGTATATATGCGTATATGTCTGAAAATTACCTCCCGTTAAGGTAAGCCGGAGAGGCCAAACCGGGCAACCATTCCCCTTTCTTGGCTTCAACTTTGAACGACGCCGTTCTGGTGGAAGAACCGATCGGTTTAACCAACAAATCCCGGTTCAATTTCCCCGAAGAGCCGGTGAGGAATCTCGGCCTGGAAGCACACGGTCGGAAAACCGCGGCGGAGGCTTGTGTTGTGACAGTCGCCATTCCGACCCGATAACCCGGTTTGGTGAAACTGAAATTGAAAGGAAGATTTGGGTAAGAGAATATGTGAAGAAGCTATGAGCTTTGTAGTTATTCGCTTTGATATTTTGTACGATTGTGTTTGTGGCTGTGGACGAGTATTTCGAGTTCACCGTTGGATTTGATGACGTGGTGGATCGTACGGCTGATATCCGTTTGCGGGGTTCGGTTTAACCAATTAGAAGAGACCTGGGCTTATCGGTTTATCTTGGCGGCGTATCGAGAGGATGTTTTTCCTCTTTGTGATTGGTCGAAGTAAGATGTTGTGGGGCCCTTTGTCATACCACGTGTCAAAGATTTTGTTTTGGGTTGTAATGGTGGATGAGGAATTCCGTCAACCAATGAAGTGGATCTGTATAGGCATGGAAAAATCTAATGTGTTATCTTTGATGTTATATATACGCATGTGTGTTTTTGTATAAATTTACAATAAACATACATGAAAGAGAAAAGTTATATACATATATTTGTGTGTGTGTATATGTAATGTAATCCACAATGAAACTGAAACGTAGTATCCGGCATATTTTCTATTTATGATATGGTCGAAAATCTATTATAAAGAGTATAAAAAAAAAAGGGTATAAAGGACTTGAGTAATTTAGATTTTTTTTTTTTGGGGGGGGGGGACAAATCGCACCACCTACGTCGAAATTCAACGGAATAAAAAAAAATGGCAGTCATTTCATTTTTTAATCAGTACTATACTAGAACATATGGTGAAGAAACCCAATAATAAACCCGTTACGATGGGCCATTAACGGTCCATAAGGCCCACATATTAGGTCCCGGTTATGGTCCGTATACTGGTCCAAAATGACGGCCCACCGAAATTTTTTTTTTAAAAAAAAAGGTAAACTGGTCCAAACAGTATTAACAGAGTATATAATATATTTGAGTTATTAACCTTTCAATAAGCATAAGAATATTGATATATTCTAATGAGAAAATATGACGAGTGATAGTTATGCCTCCCTAATATTGAAATCTACATTTTGTTGACCAATCTATAGTGGCAAAGGGATACAATCCAAGAGTGATCGACCAACATATTTTTCGGAATTCAGTTTTAAAAAAAAAAAAACCTTGATATATAACTAGTCATATCTTCATGAAAAGCTAATTTCTAAGAGCCCTACAAATTCCTGTAAATGGATTTTTTCATCTCCGCTCTCATCAAAAGCCCTAATCATCGTTCTACACTCGTTTTTTTTTTTGCGAAATGGGTCGTTTTGATACTGGCCATGTATGTGCATGGATTGGCATGGTGTGATATAGTTTAGGCCCAAAAGGCAAAAAAGTCGATAACCGACTCAAATATCTGAATTTTATGAGAATTACAGTCATATATATGTGTGTATATATATATATACTGATCACGAGGAACAAGAAAAAAAAAAGTGGAAGAAGAACAAGTCAAAGAGTGGGTTTGACAGTGTGAAATGGAAATCTGTGGGCGTCGATCGATCGATGGATTGGTTGTCTTTTGCATCTCATGTTTCAACATGCACAATAAGTCAAACCCTTCACATGTTCTGCAATAAATATATATGCTCATTCATTTCTATTCTCTTTCCAATTATTTCATTTCTATTTTTTTATTTTATTTTTCTTATTTCCAAAGTTCCTTCTACCACTAGATTTTTCTCATGTATCATGTATGTATCATACATATACACATACTGTATCTGTACTTACATGTGTTACGTACGTGTGTACATGTGATGCAAACCTCTTCTGATCATCTCCATCACACATTTATGAATTGTCTCTGTTATGTGTCCACAAGCATTGTTTACCTTTCATGCTCACACGATATCACTTGATTGACGGTTTATTAAATATTAATTTCTCATTATTTATATTATATATTTCTGGCAAATCAACAGCTGAATTATATGTTTGGAGCGATGAAATATGTAACTATGTCACTTGAAATTCCAAAAACCACAAAAAAATAAAAATAAAGAGAAACATGAATTTTCACATTATGTATTAAAATGGGTAGGTGGACTCTCTTGCATTACAATTTAATTTTAGTTTTCTTTCCAAATTTATAGTTGAATTGAAAACTAAAACAGGACACCTAATATATTAGCAATATAATTTTTTTTAATCAAAATCATGATCGGTTTCAAACGTGGAGATTCTTTGAAAATGAAGATCCATGCATTGGAGAATGATCAAAATGATAATATATGTAACGAGAGAGGCAAACGCAGAGGCTACAACTGAGATTGAGATTAGTAATATGATCAACGACGAGTTTTGACCATTGTAATAGAACGAGGTTTGAAGAATTAATTGGCAGAATTAAAACGCATATATAATGAACATAGTCCAATCTTCTACATAATCGTTAATTTATACATTTTTTTAGAAGCCCAAACAAAATATGAAGAACAAAGTATAACACATGATATATGTTAATAGAGATCTACACTTTGTGTTCTTACACATAGAAGATGTAAAAAGGGGGAACCATCCGTACGGCTCCTTGAGATAAACCCAGCAAGATTCTAAACCCTAATTAAGGCACAAACATAAGGATTAAGGTAGACATCTTTGACTTAATACAGTTGATTAATTAATAACGTTCTAGGTTTCTTCCTTTTCGTCTCTCTAGAACAACCCTTCTTGACTCTCTTCTAATGACATGTTAATCATGTCGTGACCTTGGTCATCAAACAGCCATTTCTCTAACAACGACAGAGACCCTTGTGATATTAATCCATTGTCTGTCATCGCCGGCTTTGTCTCATGATCTTGCAAGAAGCTTGACTCGAAGTTCGTCGAGTTGAAGCCGAAGAAAGACTGGTCGAACCCTTCACCACCTTCTTCGGCGGTGCTAGGGCTAGACGCCGCCGTGGCCGGGAGGTTCCTCCGAGATACGACCAGGGTGGCTGCTTTGGTTTCTGACGCAGGAGATGACGACTTTGGAGTGTCTTTCATGAACTTTTGAAGCAACCGAGCGATGTTCTCAGCGCTCGACGCGTATAGGCCTGATGGGTATGGATTAGGATTGCTTGTGGTTGTGGTGGTGGTGGAGGAAGATGACGATGATGGATCATAACGTTCTATTGGGAAATTAGAGTTCTGGAATGTTGATGGTGGCGATAATGATGATGATGATGAAGATGACAGTGTTGTATGTGGCTTGTCAAGGGACAGGGCCTCACAAAGGGCTTGTTTTGCCATGTTGATGTCTGTCTGAAGCCTTCTCTCCCATTGGCCTTTGTTTGAGGTTTGATGGTGATTTTGAGAATTAGGGTTTGATGAAGACAAGCCCTCATGCCCGTCAGAATCATCTCCTGAACCATCCATCTTCTTCAGCTTCTTCTTCAAGTGAGTGTTCCAATAATTCTTTATATCGTTGTCTGTCCTTTGTGGAAGGTATGATGCTATGGCTGCCCATCTGCAAACATACAAGCACAAATTTTGATATTTTGCTATTTTAATCTTTGGAAAAGTTTGTGTAGATGTATATATATGCTCTTGAAGGTGAACTTTATTACACACATACCGATTGCCCAAGAGGGCTTGAAGGTGGATAATCATCTTCTCTTCATGCTCGGTGAAATTGCCCCGCTTAATACCGGGCCTTAGATAATTAGTCCACCTCAATCTGCAGCTCTTGCTACATCTCCTCAGGCCTAAAAAAGGTCAAACACAGATATTTAACCATCATAGAAAGATTCAATTTTTTCTGTAAGAACAGATGGATCGACAAGGCGGAAACGGTGAGATGCACAAGAGGGTAATTTGTGAGGTGGACACAGAAGGGATGGTGCCATAAAGCGGTTATTTATTGCACCTTATTTATTGGTCTTACCAACCAAAGCTGGAACCATAATCCCAGAAAAGAAAACATTTACAGGGTTTAATACTTGGTGTAGGAAAAGAAATCACAATCCCTTATTAACCCAGAAAAGATGTGTACATTAACAAAGGTTCAGACCTGTGTTAGTAGGGACAGATCTCCAGTTGCCAGGACCATGTTCTTGAATGTAAGAAACCAAGATGATGTCTTCCTCGGGAGTCCATGGCCCTTTCTTCACTCCAATCTTGTCACAGCAAGGTGGCCTTCCCATCTCTCTCTCTCTCTCTCTCTCTCTCTCTCTCCCTCCCTTATACTCCAATCTTGTCTCAGCTTGTGTGTGTGTGAGAGAGAAAAAGGGTCCTCTTGTTTGGTGATGAAGAGAGGGGGTTTTCTATTATTAGGGTTAAGATCAAAGATCCCAAATGGGTTTCGTTATGTCTGGGGAAGAGAGGAATGAGGAGATGCTTATATTTATAGAGAGACAGATCTGAATCTATTAGGCAATAATCAACGTAGTGGTGAGTAAAGAGATAGTAGTGTGTGTGTGTGTGTGTGAGAGAGAGAGAGAGAGAGAGAGAGAGAGAGAGAGAGAGAGAGAGAGAGAGAGAGAGAGAGAGAGAGAGAGAGAGAGAGAGAGAGAGAGAGAGGGAGAGAGAGAGGAGTAGAAGGAAGCGGAAGAAGGTGGGGTTTGCTTCCAAGGAGTCAAAATGAACCGCCTAAGGCATTTACTCTCTTCCTTTCCAAAAGTCAGCCATCTCTCTCCCTCTAAATCTGATTAGAGCTTTCTCTCTCTATATATTTATATATTCATATTTAGCTGTACCTATGTATATAAATCTTTTTGTAAGCAGGAATTCAATCTGTATTGGGTGTACATTACGTTTTTTTTTGTTTTTGTAACGAGGTGTATATATACATACTAAGCATTTTGTTCGTATGTAAGCAGGAATTCTATTCGTTTCACATCTATTAATTGATAAAAAAAAATTAATATGTTTATAAGGACCACGCATATTAATTGTGCACACAACAGAGAGTTTGATTTTAGATTGCTTACAAAAAAAAATGTATCTGCATAGATCAATTCATTTAGTTAATCTAATATATTAATTTTGGAAATAAACTTAATTACGTGATTTTGCATGCACAAATTAAACCCTCTCTCTCTCTCTCTCTCTCATTAAACCGTGTGGTGCTGATAAATGAAGAGGGGTGGCACCGAAAGAAGTCAAATAAACTTAAAATAAAAAGAAGAAAAAGAAAAGAGAAAAGCTATTTTTTTATGAATTCTTGTGATTTTTTGTTTTATGGAAAAGGTGTTACGTTCCTATATATGTCTTCTCTTCACTTTTTGTCCTTTTTGGTCTATCACACATATACGCGCATAAATACATTGAAAATACCCCTAAGTTACATGAATATATGTAACATGTATATACACATATATGCATATGTGTAATTATACACCCTTTAGACAAAACCTCTCAAGATATGAATCTACATAAAAAAATGTTCTTTTTTATGTAGGCTAATTGGGAAAATATATAGCATCAATATACGGTCCTACAAATTGTGACGCGTATATACACAAAATCATGAACATAAATATTTTATTGTAATGAGTTTAAGGGATGTAATTAAAGGTATCAATACATAAGATATACTGTTCTTCATCTTAAACTTGTTTACAATAATACTCTACGAATTAATCGTAATTCACGTGGAGTGAAATATTAATGGGATGGTGAGAAAGTCTCCCGATAACATATACACATGCATACATAGACGAAGCACAAATCAAACACACACACATATCCGAAGAAAAGATTCTATAAGAGTGATGATGATAGTCAAATTTGGAAGCCTTTCAACAAATATGGTACGAGTGAGCCAACGTTGATGTCCCATTAAACATGTTTAATTTCGTATAGTTATTGTGATTTAAATGTTCGTAAAAGTAACTTTTTTCTTCTATTTGACGGTTTGATGCACGAATGGGGGGTTTGGCCTTTTGTTTTTCAAATTTATTTCACCGTCACGTGAAACACCATGCACGCAATTTAATTGCCATAACAAAATCCATTTAGGGGGCGACTGGTTGCACCGCCGTTACCCGCAAACGGAGCGGTTGTGATTTCCGGCGGTTGCGGGCGATTGAAAAACTGACTGGTTGAACCGCAACCAACCGCAACCGCAACCAAACTTGTGTTTTCTAATCGCAGCTTCCAACTTGCGTTTTGGTAGCAATTTCCGGCGTTTTGACAAAAAAAACTAAAATATTTTTATTAAAAATTATATAAAACATTAATATATATATATTGGTGATGATTTTGTTTAGTGTTATGATTTAAAAATTTAATTAAAACTATTATAAAAAATTATTTTTAAATAATATTTTTTTTTAACAATTTATATCAAAACGCAACCGCAACCGTAATGAACCATTCACTTCTAACTGCACCCACCCGTAATCGCTACCAACAGCAACTTCTCAACCAGTCAGTACTAATCATTTATAATCGCTATCAAACGTTCTGAAAACGCTGCCACCCGCAACCGCAACCGCTGCGGTACAACCAGTCGAACCCTTAAGCTATAGTCAATCTTTTATGATCTAACAACACAAACGGACGCAAAATCTTGAATGAATCTTATACACATAAATCGAGGAAAAACACAAACATTTTCAATTGTATTAATCTGTTGGACCGACATCCGTGATGTTGTGGAAACAATTTTGCTCTATGCATTAGTTTTAATAATACGAAGGTTAATTTTTTAATAACCGAGGGGTTAAAAAATGTCCATATAATTAACGAAAGGAATGTTGCATGCACGTGACGTCCTCGTGCATTGGCTTCGAAAATCTTCCACGCGTAGGGATTTCATTGAGCAAAAGGTCAAGCCCCATCACTCATAATCCTTTTCTAGGCCTTTTGCCCATACGCTTTACTCGTATCCCGAGTACCATATTAAGTTTCCTAGTCGTCTTCTCCCATCATGCTAAACTATGCATAATACATGTATATACACACATACATATATAGTATTTTGTCTTTTTAATTAAGAAAATGATTTATCATATGAATTTTACTATTCGGACGGAGAGAATCACATTAAAATAACTTCGATTTCGTTCATATCGATTATTTAATACAGTTTCAAAGGTATAATTTGATAAACTAATTAAAAATCCGATCTTATGTAAAAACTGATCATACATCGCATGCACACATTAAGTTCGTTGTGTGTACGAATAGAATCCAAAATTCATATAATTTCCACACCCCTAATAAACTATAATCATATTTCTAACGGTTTTATAATAACAATTATAATATATATGGATCATTCACAACGCCTCTAAGGCTAGGGTTTTCTTTAACGTCTCTCGATCAAATGGAAAGTGCCTGCGCAGTTTCCTACAGTTTCTAGAAGACAAGGGAACACCTAAGTCAACGACTATGGTCTCCTTTTGGATCTCGACGGATTTTATCTTATTATATACGCATATATTAAATAATTGATAAACTTATCAAGGTATAATATCGCATGAAGACACGTAGCAGCTGCTGATTTAAATTTTAGGTGCCTTGCAGACCCATCATTAAATGATGTGATAATGATTATTATATTATCTAATCTATAGTTCTTAGTTCTTACTGTCACCAAATAAGGTTTAGGGTTTCTTCCTGCAGTAAATTTTCCACAGTTTTGAAAGACAACCTTTAGATTTCCTGTTGCTGGCCTGGGGGCGGGGTCTTTTGGGGTGAAACTATTTAGTAGGCTATATAATAAATGTTTTTGTTTTATGTTAATGTTGTGGGAATTTTGAATTTCATAAATTATGAAACTATATTTTAATCTTTAAAATATAACAAAAATGTAGTGATTAAATCATTACTTTGCTAATATTTAATTATCAAATATAATTTATTTGAGAGATTTGTGGATCGATATTTTAAACATAGGTGATTTTACGATGTACTCAAATTTCAATTTTTACATCTCGCGATTGATGTATACTAAACTAGTTATTATATCAGAATAAAAAAAATAAAATTATAAACTTTTTTAGGTTTAAAAAACAATAAACCGGAGACAATGGAGGCATTTTTTACTCGTTTGAGTACATTTCTGCTTACTCTAATCCCGATCAAAACTCATGTGACATACTTCATATCAATTATATAAATTTGAAACAATTAAATATTGCCGTTGTAAATGCGCTGTCATTTTTTAAATTATGGAATTTACACAATAATAAAAGTGGTGGATTGTTAGTTGTTAAATTCTACGTCGTCAATTTAGAAATATAAACATGACCACGAAGTTAATAGGTAGAGTAATATCCAAAAGGGTATATTATTTATGGCCAATGTGATCTTGAGCTATGTCATAAATACTAATACAGCGAAATATTTTGAAATTTCATGTGGCACTTAAAAAGAATTAATCTTAATTTGACCGATTCAAACTGAATTTTTTTAAATTTCACGATCCAATTAATTTCTTTTTCTTTTTTTGAAAAAATTGACACTCTTGATATCTGTTTTACTACTTCATAAGTCAAAATCATTAAAAGCAAGATAGTTATTACATGAAGACTAATCGACCGAAACTACAGCTATCTTAGTTTTAAGATTCTTTTGGTGTTATAAGATACTCCTTCCGTTTGACAATAGATGACGTTTTAGAGTAAAAAATTTGTTTCAAAATAAATGACGTTTTTAGATTTTCAATATACTTTTTAATATTTTTTTTTCCAAATTTACTCTTAATTAATAATATTTAAATATTTTGTATAATCATTATCTATCTAATAAATAAGGGTATTTTAGGTAAAACATTATTTTTCTTAATTTGTGTGTAGAATTCTTAAACGTCATGTATTTTAAAACAGAGAGAATATTATTTTGATCAATTTTTGCATAAAAAAAATTTATAGTGATTACAAAGGGAGATGAATAATATATGATGAATATGTTTAGTTCGTTCGTGGAAAATAAGATTCAAAGCGGTATGAAGAGCGGCTACTCTCACAATGTAAGTGAACATGTTTAGGTAGGGGTGATGATTTAGGTCCGAAATCCGAAGTCCATCCCGAACCCACCCGAAAGATAGCAGGCTTCGGTCTAAGTTTTTCGGCCAGATAAAATCCGGTCCGAAAACCCGATATTTTTTTTAAAAATAATCTTTAAAAAAAGAAATAAAAAATAAAAAGAATTTGAGTGGGCCAACCCGACCCGATCCAGTCCGATCCGATCCGAGCTTGAAGTCTATAGGATCGCGCTTCGGACTTGGCTATATAGGCCCAAAAAAATCGGATCGGCCCAAACCCGACCCTAAAATCCTCGGGCACGATATTACCAAGGTGGATGGTATCTCGCGAAGCCATTTTCCCCTCACAACAAGTAAAGGTGAGGGCATGATACTCAGTTTCTACAAATGAACGAGAAACTGTATAGGTTACTTTTGTCTTCTAAGAATTAGGCGAAGATCCAAGAACCACAACATAACTTGAAAGAGTGGGTCGAGAGGTCGGACACACAGTCCAATCAGAATCACAATAGGTCATCATACGCAAAGAACTATCAGTCCGCAAAAGAATCACAGTAGATGATTGAGAATACAACGCGTACACACGAATTACAAGAGATTAAACTCTTTAACCCGTTTTTCCGAAAAACCAAGAGAGAGAAAGAAATATTACTATAGAAGAGGAAGAAGACGATGGTTCCTTAAAACAACCTGGAGTGTACAACGATTTTTAACAACCAGTCCGGACAAAATTACCAAACAGCCCCAAAACCTTCTCTTCTAAACCGAGGCTTCTTTCGAATCCTCTACACGAGCCAGAGACTTCCACTACAAAAAGTTTGAATATACCGACGACGATTGCGATGGGAATATCGTCGCATAACGATTTTGCGACGGTTTGCGTCAATTTGCGTTGGAAATCAATGTTGTCGCAGGTCGTCGGAAACATAGTCGCAAATTGCGACAGATGCAGAAATTAGTTGTCATCGCTACGGATTCTCTTTGATTGCTTAGCATATATCCGTTTTAACCAGGCTTTAATCATTTGAAAATTGAATGATTTACTTATTAACTCCTCTAATAATAATAATAATAATAATAATAATAATAATAATAATAACCTATCTTTTGATTTGTTTTCGATGCTGAATTTCCACTTTGTATACTTTTATCGGGTTCGTTTGTGGGCCAAATAAATGAGGCCTCCATTATTTTTATTTTTTTGTTAACAGGTCTCCATTATTTTGTTGAGTTCATATTATATTCGTTTCATTAGTAGCCAGCCCTGATAATTAGTTTTCATATTGCATAAACTCAATTAGATTTATGGACATATAATAAAATTGAGAGGTTTTGATACGACTGTTATATATAATGCAGAAAAAACAATAATGTTATAATTCTTAGGATCTACATAATTTTGATCTGTTAATAATATGTGTCGTATAATTTTATTTGTGGTTGTGGAACATTATCAGTACTACAAAGAAGTTTTCATACATTGATGAGACTTTAATATTTTTCTACATTTTCCCATGATGATAATCGAATCGCGATCCATGGGCCGACCTAGAGAAATATTTAGAAGGGGGCACAATCTAATTTTAATATTCTATATGGAGGCATTTAGCAAATATATTTAAAATTTTATAAAATTTTATAAATTTTATAAAGAAAATTTAAAACTTTACGTATTTCTTTGAATATTTACTCGTTGTATGAGTTGGGATGCAATTACTTGGGACTTTGTCGATTATTATTACTATTGGTATGCTTGCGTTTCTCTATAATAAGAGGATTCAACACGTGTTGTTTTTGGTAATGAGTATCTTTAATCAAAGTTCATATCAATTCTGGAGTCGAACATTTAATTTGAAAATATACATTTTCTCCAAAGTTGAAATTCTAATTAGATATGAGAAAAACATTTTCGTTCTCATTTTATTGATTAAATTATCTAAATTTGAATGGAGATTACAATCAGATTTGATAGAGAGATTGCTGCTGATGTGGAAAATTATAACCATCTAATGCAAATATCTACATCAAAATTTTCGGGATGGTCGGATGCATGTATGCATATTTATATATGTATCTTATCACACATTCCATCAATATTTATAAAACATTTCTAATTCATAAGAACACTCCCCGTTGGAGTTGCCACGTAATCTATCGACGTGGAGGAAAGGACGCGTGTACGGATAGGATCGAGCCAGCTATACTTCACAAGAGATGAAGCGAACGAAGCGAGGCCTTTGGACAAGACATATCAAAGTCGTTAGACGACCAAAGAAAAAAAACAAATAAGCAGAGGACACCTGCCTCTTTTTTTGTTTGGCTTTGTCGTGGGGCTTTAACTCATTCACTCTTTAAAAATAAAGTATTATTTTATCGTCTAGCTTATTCGTGGTCCCCACTTATCGAGAGTCTCCGACACGTATCGTCGTCAGACGATCTGATCTTATGGAGTGTCCTTTCGGTACGAGATCGTGACCGTTGAAACGTGTCCACGAGGAAGAAGTACCTTCAAAAAAAAAATATAAAAGTATTTTCAATTATTTTTTATAAACCAATATTGGTCGAAATTATCATATTATTATTATATATGACAAGTGTGTGGGTGGGTATGTATTTTTTTTATTTTTTTAGAACTTACAGATTAGATTGCTGATGAATGATTTCTCCGTGGTATGTATATTATTGAGAATTAGGTTTATGTGGGCTCAGTTAACCCTGACACGTGTCAAATATGATAAGATGCTACGTGTCATCATCTCGTAGGGTGTTGACCAAATCTGCATTTAGGACGTCGAAGATTTAGAAGTCAAAATATCATTTGAACTCGTTCACATTATGCGGATAATGGAAAAAATTAAAGGGAACAATACATGCATATGCGGATTTTTAGCAGAGATTATGCATAATAATCATTTGATAATTTTGAATAAATTGAAGGGGCTCTTGGTAAAGTGCCGCAAAAAGTCGGAGGTATTTGAAAAATGTATATATATTTTTTTTGTTATTTGCATATTACTCTTTTTTTAATTAATAACCAGAAACTTTTAAATATTTTAAAATTTGACAAAATATATTTTTTCTTCGAAATAATTCCAGATCGAAATATACATTTTCAATCGAAATAATTTTATTATGAATAATTTTTCGGATGAAAACACTTTCTCCCGCACGAAACACTTTTGTTCTAAAAAGTTTCCGGACGAAAACGGATTTTCGTAGACAAAAACAGGTTCCCCTCTCCCGTAAAAAAAAATAGTTTCATCTTACATAATATATTCATCCTAAAAAGTCATTTTTTTTTTATTTTTTGGATGCTAAATGACAATATCAAAATTAGACAATAAAGCAAAAGTATTTTTGTCAAAATTTTACACAAAATTATAGCTTGCAAATGAAGGAAAAAAATGTGTAGGCTTTGAATCTCTCACCAAAATTGATATAATAGCGCAAATTTCCTCAAAATTTAATGTTAGTGTTGGAGAACGAAGTAATGCTGAAGAACAAACCGAGCTACATAACTCATCTTTCTTGGACAACACTCGAGCGGTTGAAGCATTTGATTCAACCATAATATTAAAAGGCAAGACTAACACATGAAAGGGAGTTAATATGAGGATCATTTCTGCATAAATCAAGGACCAACAGATTGATACCCATCGTATCATGGTTGCCAAATATAGGAGACGTAATTTGCCTTCTATCTACCTAGAATAGGAATGTTTCCATTTCCTTTTAGATCCTCACAACGTTCATATGCATATTTTTCCTTTTCCTTTCTAAGTCTTTATTCTATATATTGTAAACAAATATTCATGAATAATAAGAAGAACCAAGTAACCTATTTGGGTTACCTTTCTTTATCTTCTTCGTACAAACCTTGCAGAAGGATACATCAACAATAATCTCTCTCTCCCTTTGATCTTCATTCTCCAATCTACTTGATTTTCTTCTAAAATCTTCACGGGAAGAAGAAGGAAGATTCGATCGTGGAGACTAAACATCTGCATGAGCTTTTCTTTCCTCTCTTTTATCTCCTTTTCTCTGTTCTTTTTATTGTTTTCCATGAACCGTGAGTAGATCCACGACTATGGGTTAGGGATTCGTTTGTGTTTTGGGTATGTTTGAACCCTAACTTGGATTTCGGTTTTGATTTGTTTCGGTTCTATTGATTTGCGCTTTTATTGGATTGATGTTTGCTAACCCCATGATCAATTATCTTAGATTCTAAACTACATAGAGATATGAGTTGGTTTCGGATCAAAATCAATAGGGTAGATCGTATTATTCACATAGAGATATGGTTTAATCGATCTAGGGTTGATGATAGCGTTCTTCATGCACCTAGGGTTAACTTGAATAGATCGAGAGATTGACGAGTTACTCTGTAGGTAGGGAGTTAGTAGACCGAGAGGTGAATTCTCTATCTTTGTTGCTTGACGATTCCCGAATACAAGTCATAATCGTTATTCTCGCATGCTTAGCATATACCCATACACGCGAATACGATCCCGATACCCGTAGTCATCCTTGTTTGATAGGTTACTCGTTTTCATTGCTTTCTTATTTTGTTTCCTATAGATTCCATATACTTCCATCATCACTTGCTTGCTTGCTTTGATCTACTTTTGATTTAGATTTGGATTTAGCAACCGGTCCTCGTGTTCGACCCCGTTGAAGATTTTAGAAGAAAATCAAGTAGATTGGAGAATGAAGATCAAAGGGAGAGAGAGATTATTGTTGATGTATCCTTCTGCAAGGTTTGTACGAAGAAGATAAAGAAAGGTAACCCAAATAGGTTACTTGGTTCTTCTTATTATTCATGAATATTTGTTTACAATATATAGAATAAAGACTTAGAAAGGAAAAGGAAAAATATGCATATGAACGTTGTGAGGATCTAAAAGGAAATGGAAACATTCCTATTCTAGGTAGATAGAAGGCAAATTACGTCTCCTATATTTGGCAACCATGATACGATGGGTATCAATCTGTTGGTCCTTGATTTATGCAGAAATGATCCTCATATTAACTCCCTTTCATGTGTTAGTCTTGCCTTTTAATATTATGGTTGAATCAAATGCTTCAACCGCTCGAGTGTTGTCCAAGAAAGATGAGTTATGTAGCTCGGTTTGTTCTTCAGCATTACTTCGTTCTCCAACACTAACATGAAGGAAAAAAATGTGTAGGCTTTGAATCTCTCACCAAAATTGATATAATAGCGCAAATTTCCTCAAAATTTAATGTTAGTGTTGGAGAACGAAGTAATGCTGAAGAACAAACCGAGCTACATAACTCATCTTTCTTGGACAACACTCGAGCGGTTGAAGCATTTGATTCAACCATAATATTAAAAGGCAAGACTAACACATGAAAGGGAGTTAATATGAGGATCATTTCTGCATAAATCAAGGACCAACAGATTGATACCCATCGTATCATGGTTGCCAAATATAGGAGACGTAATTTGCCTTCTATCTACCTAGAATAGGAATGTTTCCATTTCCTTTTAGATCCTCACAACGTTCATATGCATATTTTTCCTTTTCCTTTCTAAGTCTTTATTCTATATATTGTAAACAAATATTCATGAATAATAAGAAGAACCAAGTAACCTATTTGGGTTACCTTTCTTTATCTTCTTCGTACAAACCTTGCAGAAGGATACATCAACAATAATCTCTCTCTCCCTTTGATCTTCATTCTCCAATCTACTTGATTTTCTTCTAAAATCTTCATGGTATCAGAGCCATAAGGTCTTGAGGACCCCTCTGTTACGTTTTTTTTTAGTTATTCCGCTGCGAAATCGAAGTATATTTCCTCTCGGTTGTGAGTATACCGAAGAGGAGCCTACTCGATTCATTTTTCAGAATTTTGTTTTTTCTTTTGGTCATTCATTCAAACCAAAAGGAGAGTTTTCTTCAAGTGAATCGTTGGCCAGTCATTCAAGCCAGGGTTATTATATTGTTTGTCTCCCTCGGTCTTTTCATTTCAAACCGAGACGGAAATTTTTTTTCCCCTACCCCCTTTTCACTCCAATATGTGTGAGTATTGTGATAGTGATTGTGAGTATGAAGAGGTTTATGAAGAACCAGAATATAGAGAGCATTGGAATGTTGAAGACGTCTTAGCCAAAATACCAGAGACTTTAAGAGAGGTAGAAAGCATTGCAGAGGCGAAACCAATGCATGGAGACCTACAAACCGATCAAAAACACCATGACAAGGGTAATGACTTGGATGATGCACTCTCGGAAGAAGAAGAAGAAGAAGAAGGAAGAGAAATAGATGCGATTGTGAGTGACCTCATAACGGAGGCAAAGAACCCCGAAGAAGAGGCATTACATCCATTTGAACTCATTCCATATCCGAGTACAATAAAGACTCCGAGCATCCCATTTGCATGGAGAGAAACCCAAGTTTGTAGTATCTTCTATTCTCCTATCTCTTTCGATTTTTGTGTTCCAAATGATATGTTTGCTTGTCTTAGTGTTTATGATCAGAAAATCCAACCAATAATCATGAAACTTCATGGTGTCGAGAAGCTCACGAGTGAGGGGGAATGGTATGAAGCACTCGTATGCTTCTCTATTAAAAATGACACAATGCAAGTATCCGAGTACAAAACGGAGGTGACATTACCTATGAGTTTCTACAATTCTCTGTCTCATAATTCAATATCATTAAACTTGGAATTCATTCATATAAGAACATTATTTTTACTTTTATTTGATAAAAATCATATGCTTGCATCGTTATATTTGGTTTTGTGTATTAAACGGAGTGTTATGGTCTCCGATATGTTCTCTAACCATTTCTTTGAGATTTTACAGCAAATAAACATGAATATAGGAAATTTTGGAAGCTTAAATCCAAAGGAACCTCCATGGAAAGAGTTGGAATGCTTGGATATAAGTCAACGCAACCACAAGGGTATTCGCTCTCCAAGATTAGCTTTTCATCATTTCTCCAAGCTAATCTTGAGGGGGAATGTTGGAGAACGAAGTAATGCTGAAGAACAAACCGAGCTACATAACTCATCTTTCTTGGACAACACTCGAGCGGTTGAAGCATTTGATTCAACCATAATATTAAAAGGCAAGACTAACACATGAAAGGGAGTTAATATGAGGATCATTTCTGCATAAATCAAGGACCAACAGATTGATACCCATCGTATCATGGTTGCCAAATATAGGAGACGTAATTTGCCTTCTATCTACCTAGAATAGGAATGTTTCCATTTCCTTTTAGATCCTCACAACGTTCATATGCATATTTTTCCTTTTCCTTTCTAAGTCTTTATTCTATATATTGTAAACAAATATTCATGAATAATAAGAAGAACCAAGTAACCTATTTGGGTTACTTTTCTTTATCTTCTTCGTACAAACCTTGCAGAAGGATACATCAACAATAATCTCTCTCTCCCTTTGATCTTCATTCTCCAATCTACTTGATTTTCTTCTAAAATCTTCAGTTAGTCCTCTTCCGTTTAAAGTTTAGTTGTAACGAATGAAGAATGAATATGAAGACAAAACAAATTGAGCCATACATGCATAATACTCTAAAAGTCGTTCAATGCGGATTTTTGCAGAGATTATGCATTATAATCATATGATAACTTTGAACAAGTTTAATTTTAGTCCTCTTTCGTTTAAGTTTAGTTCAAGCGAATGAAGAATAAATATAAAACCAAAATGTGGGCAGAGACCAAACACGTTTGCCTGCTGATTTCATATAATAAATCTATATGAATATTATCTTGCAATTATATATATATTGTAAATAATGTGTAGAAGTCGAATTATAAAGATGACAAATAAAATTCGTCTTTCAAGGAGAAGTTCGTTGCGTTGTAATTATTTTGAATTTAATTATATTTTTTAATATATATATGTATTGCAAATATATTGTATATATTTTTTTAATTTGTTTATATATTTATATTTATTTTTTATTTTTTAATTCTATTTTTAAAAAAAAAAATTATCTGATGTGCCAAGTTTACATCCGTCACGTAAAATCATCGTTAACTGATTTAACGTCGATAATGTTTTTATCAAAAAATTATAAATTTAATATTTTTTTATGTCAAAATCGACCAATTTATATTTCATTTAAAAATTCAAAAAATCGATACTAATATCTCCTACTTCAATAATTTTTTTGGATTTTCCGTAAAAACAATGAACAGAAATATAAAACGTCAAAATGCGAGACTACAAAATGCGTCATTACCCGAAGGCCTATTCATTTAGGCCCAAATAGGCTCATTCATTTAGGCCTAAATTGGCCCATTCATATAGGCCCAATTTGGCCCATTCATATAGGCCCAATTTGGCCGAATCTCTAGCGAGCATATAGGATTCCTGCCTGCCTGTGAATGATATCGTCTTCTCCATTCGGATCGCATCTCTTCTCTCTCTCTCTCTATTAGGGTTCCTTCGCACTTAAGTTTCATCCCTGTGTGCTCTCTGGTATGCTTACTTGGTCTTGATTTCATACTCTTTAAGAATCGATGTGTTTGCGTCCAATTATGCTTCTAAATTTAGATTTAGGTCGTGCCATTGTTTCTCCGGCTTGTGCTGATTTCATGGTATTCCCCGGTTTTAGATTTTGTTCACGGTGTTACTGCAGCTGCAACCTTATGCTTTGCTTTATACTCGATGGGCTATTTCGGTTGATATTTGCTCTCTCCCGAAAACTGCAGTTGATTAGAAAATGTCAGAAGAGGTAGAGTATCGCTGCTTCATTGGTGGCCTTTCCTGGTCAACGTCTGACCGTGGCCTTAGGGATGCCTTTGAAAAGTTTGGCCACCTTCTTGAGGCCAAGGTAATGTCTTTTGCCATCCACTAGCTGTCCTGCGCAAGTGAATGTGATGTCTGATGAGATAAAAGCCTTTTGTGTTGGACACAGGTGGTTGTTGACAAGTTTTCTGGGCGCTCCCGTGGTTTTGGGTTTGTCACATTTGATGAGAAAAAAGCTATGGATGAAGCCATTGCAGCGATGAACGGCATGGATTTAGATGGCCGAAGTATAACTGTTGACAGAGCCCAGCCACACCAGGGAGGGTCAGGCAGGGATCATGATGGTCGCGACCGCGACCGCGACCGCGACCGCGACCGCGACCGCGACCGCGACCGCGACCGTGGCCGTTCTTTTGGTGGTGGGCGTGGTTCTGGTGGTGGAGGAGAGTGCTTTAAATGTGGAAAGCCAGGACATTTCGCAAGGGAGTGTCCTTCTGAAGCAAGTAGAAGTGGGGAAAGATATGGTGCAAGGGATGACAGACATGGTCGTTATGGTCCTGATCGTAGTGGAGACCGTTCTGGGGGGCGTAACAAAGACGGTGGCAATCGTGGAGGTCCTGGAGGTGATAGGTACAATCGTGGCCCATACGAGCGTCCCAGAACCGGTGGATAATCAAAGCTTATCGGTGATGATGATGTATACACTGCCTGTCCGAAGGCTCTTGCTTTTTATCATTTCTTTGATTATGAACTAGTAGATGATGATGATGATGCTACCATTGTATTGTTGTTTTAAAGTATCTGTGGCTTTGGTTTGGTGTTTCTGCTGTTTCTCGATCATTATATATGACAGACATCGTTAACTGGGTAGTGGATGGTCCCAAGATAGAGCTGTTTTTTTTTTACGATGCCATCGCCATGTCCGAGCTGTTGTCTGTAACATATTTATCATATGTATATTTGCATTTGCTTACTGGTTTCACTTGGCTGCAGCATTAGCCCAATTGCAGGACACTGCCATTGTTTTAGCTACCCGAGCAAATGCCATAGCCATCGGCATCAGGTACGTAACTACGACGTTAACGAGAAGCTCTCTTTCTGCAGATTTCTTCATGATTGCATGTAACCGAGCTTTTCGCTTGACGAATGTATATATAAACTTTTCAAATTTCAACCATGCCATTGTTTTTTACAGCTGAGTTACATATTTGACTCGTATTTATTTAGTACAAATCTACATAAAATTCACACGGCCGATAGATCGAAGGAACTGAAAAGGGTTTTCTTTTGGGCTTGAAGCCCGTTTTAGTGTTTCTTAAATCCATTTTTTGGTAGTATAAAGAGCCAAATCCAAATGTAAGATACCCAACGAAAAATAGCATTGTTGCCATTCATTAATTAACGTGCCTAAGTTTTTTTTTTTAATAATTCAGAATTTCACTGATCTTTGATCTAAATAAATTTTTTTAAAAGATCGAAAAAATCCAGTTGAATACTCTTACCTAAATAGAGATTCGAACTTGGGTGAGAGAATTTTGTTTCATCCCTTACTAATTGAACCACCAAATTTGGGGTTTATTTATCTAAGTTGTCGGAATTTGATACATTTGTTCAAAACATAATATATATATATATATATATATTCTCAAAACTTTGAAATACAATTTTAAATTCTATTATTTATCGTTTATCTCATCAAAACTGTTTTTTTTTTGGCAAGAGATTTATTTACCTCATTGTGAAAACCCACAAACCACCGCTGTGCTTGGATTCAACAATTGATATATCTGTGGTCGTTTGAAAGATTAGTTAAATTATGTAAATAAACAAAACAAGAAAAGGAGTATTTAGTGCTTAGGAAAAAAAAAACCCAAAAGAAAAAAAAAGAGAGTAATGAATAGTGTCAACTCAATAAAGCTACAACAACGATGATGATGCGACGCAAGTCCCTTTGTTATCCATCCATCCATATATACATACATACATACACACACATGCATACACTTGGCAAAATCACTTTTATTTAATGATTTAAAAATATTTATAACGTCATCCACCCATGACTTGTAAGAATGGAAAAGATTCCATCTGTCCCCTACCCAAAAGGTATGAAAACCCAGCCTCCTCACTCGCCTACAGATGCACATAAACCATACGGCGTATGTATACATTTGCTACGTATGCATGCATCTATGCATAGGAATTGATACTGTTTACTCGGCGTACGCGTTTATATTAGGGTTCCTTCATGGCATTAATTTTGTACGTCCCGTGAATTAATTAAACCCCACTGTTACAGAAATAGACCTAAACACGGTAATTTCCACATGATTTCTATGCATTTTGTTAGACCCCATCATTTAAATATGTATATAACATATATATATATATATATACAGCTATAGTGGGAAGAAAGATGTGAGATTCAGACAAATAAAAAAAGCAAAGATGTTTGAGAAGGTAAGACGTCGATGTCAACAAGAAAACTGCAGCATATGCATTTGGCAATTGCATGTGGTCTCTTAAATCGCAACACCCTCTCTTTCTCCATACACCGCTTAGTGCCCACCATTCTTTTGGCTCTGCTTGTGACTTTTTTTTTAAAAATTATTATTCGTATTCAAGTTCTATTAAGATGGACATTAATTATATCCTTGATATATATATATATACACACACACACAAATATACAAGGAAGATATTATCAGAAATATTGTTAATATTTGATATAGATTTGGTCCTTTAGTATATTCTATTGTATTTTGCTGTATGTATATAGGCTTGTATAAACACTTGTCATCAATATTCTATTGTATTTGAAGCCCTAACAGTAGAGTTACATTATGAAACAGTATTAATCTCCACGTTGGATTGCAGAGTATCAAGTTGCAAAACAGTTTACATAAATCCAATTGCACAAGATTTCCAGCTGGTATCCCTTAGTTATGTTTTTAGGAGTTTGTTCATTTTGGCTCCCTTTTCATAATTTTTTTTTTATTAATTCCCACTTATATTTAAATATCGAACTCTGGTTACATGTAGTATAAATTGTAGTTTAATTTTACATTTGATAAAAAATCAATTAGAGAAAATTTCCCAAAGTGTCTTCTTCCTCTAAATTTCTCAAAATACATTAGCATTTTTATATTAAATTTCTGTGTATTCACATTGTGCAAATGGATAGATAAATTGGATCTATCTGAAAGCGCTTGGCACCGAGGGCCGTCACGGTCCGACGTTGCGTACACCTGTAGGGCTGTTAAAAACTAGGGGTGTCAAAACGAGACCGGCTCGCGAGCTGGCTCGTGACTTGTCAGAAAACGAGCGATCTGAGCCGTAATTTTTTCAGCTCGTTAAAAAATGAGCCTAACGAGCCAGAGCTCATTGAACACGTATTCAATAAGCCTGGTTCGGCGAGCTGGCGAGCTGCTCAACGAGCTGATATTTTTTTTTAAAATAAATTAAATTTATATAAAAAACTCTAATATAATTTTATATTAATTTTTTTCATATCATTTATATGATATTATAAATATACTAATTATTATGATG